CAAAGTACGAAAGGTTTAGGTCGTGGTTGCACTGCACACTCCAGCTATACTCAAGATTGTTACCACTATTGGTTGATCTTTCCTTCACCCTGCTTGCTTTCTCAAAGTACGAAAGGTTTAGGTCGTGGTTGCACTGCACACTCCAGCTATACTCAAGATTGTTACCACTATTGGTTGATCTTTCCTTCACCCTGCTTGCTTTCTCAAAGTACGAAAGGTTTAGGTCGTGGTTGCACTGCACACTCCAGCTATACTCAAGGTATTTAGAATGAGTGATTGGCTTGCCCTTCATTCTGCCTGCTTGCTTAAAGTACGAGAAGTTTATTCCACAGTTAGGCTGGGTTCACAATATGTCGCATTATTGCCTGTCGCGCCGTGCCATGCAAAGATAGATCTATCTTCAGGACACGGCAATGTGGTAATGCGGCCTATTGCCTAACTCTCCATATGATTGTCTTTCCTTCCCCTCACTCTCTGTTTAAAAGTGCAATATTAAGCCACCCAATGACTCCAGAGTATTATTTGCACTGCATACTTCAGATATTCAGTTTTGAACTTTCCTTCCCCACATGATGGCTATACATTTAGACCACCAATGATTAGTTACATTCTGCACACTCCACAGCAACAGTCAAGGTGTTCATGATGATTGGTTGTCTGCCCTTATATACCTCTACTCGCTTGCTAAAAGTACATAATATTTTAGACCATCCAATTCCACTTTCACACTCAAACTATTTGCGCTGCACACTCCAGCTATAGTCATGTATTCAGGATAATTGGTTGGTTTTTGCTTATCCCAACTTGCTTGCAAAAAGTACGAAACATTTATGCCACTCTCTTTTCCACAATAACACCTGAAGAGCAGCAACAGTCAAGGTAATTGGGACGGTTTGTCAGTAGCTGCGAGTGTCTTGCTACTTCTGTTGTGTTTACATGTGTCATGAACGAGGTAGAAAGGCAAACCAAAGCAAAAGAGTCAACCAGGACAGCTCTTTCTTTACAAGGAAGAAGGAAGAGCTGCCCTAGGTGGGATTCGAACCCACGGCACTCTGCTTTCTAGTACATGTAGTTGACTTGTTTGCTTTACCTTGCCTTTTTACCTTGTTGTTGACACATGTACCTCTGCAGTGACATCTACCGGCAGAAGAAGTTGCTGGAGAATTTCGGACAGCTCCTGAGGAACCTGTTCCTGCCTCTGTTTCAGGCCACACTGGACCCTTCTTCCCACAAGAACCTCAGCATTTTCCTCAACCAGGTGTCTGTCTGTCGGTCTGTCTGTTTGTCTGTCTGTCTGTCTGTCTGTCTGTCTGTCTGTCTGGAGAAGAAGTTACAGCTGGGAACATTGCATGAAGGGTCATGGTCTGTCTTGTGCAGGTGATAGGGTTTGATAGCGTTGATGATGAGAGCAAGCCGGAGTCTACCTTCTTCTCCTCTGCCACGCCCACGCCCGAGGAGTGGACCTCCCACGACAACCCTCCCTACTCCTACTACATCTTCTACATGTTTGCCAACATCTCCATGCTCAACAGACTCCGCAGGTACAGCTCTTTGCCTCACAATATGTCGTAAAGGCTAGTGAGGGAGTACGAGCGGTATGCAGTGCGCCACTTAGTGAGAAAGAGTTGATTGCAGTGTGATGCAGTAGGGAAATGGGACATACTGTGAACTTAGCTTTACTTACTCTCTCTTCTTCCTTCTCTCCCTCCTTCCTCTACCCAATCTGTCTCTCACCAGGATCCGTGGGATGAACTTGTTCACACTGCGGCCCCATTGCGGTGAAGCTGGACCTGTTCACCATCTCGTCACCTCATTCCTCCTCAGTCAGAATATCTCCCACGGTCTCCTACTGAGGAAGGTCTGTGTCCACCTCGCCAATGTCTCCTCCATCTTGTTTTCTCATGCTTTTGGCATCCAGTCTCCAAGTATACTCGTGTTCTATCATTAAGTGCCCACTGCATGGAAATGACTAAACTTTGCAAAGCAAGCCTTCCTAGTTGTCCGAATTGCCTAGGACATCACCAACAGCAAGACTCTGCCATGGGATGTTATATTATGTGCAACGAGGCTGCAAGGCAAAGGCAAAGCAAGCAAGTAAACTACACCCATGGGAGGGCAACTCTTATGCAAACCCAATTCGCCAGTACTGTGTCTGACATTCTGAGATTGTATCCAAATGCTCACTTGCTCTCCTATGTTGTGTGTACGTATGTATGTTGTGTGTACAACAGATCCCGAGCATCCAGTACCTGTACTACCTGGCACAGATAGGCGTGGCCATGTCTCCACTCAGCAACAATCACCTGTTCCTGGACTACAACCGCAGCCCGTTCCCCGAGTACTTCCGTCGAGGACTCCACATCTCCCTCTCCACGGACGACCCCCTACAGTTCCACTTTACCAGGGTCTCTCATACTTATAGTAGTGTAGACTGGGGGTCTCTATTAGTGTTTGAACCAGTTCTAACCACTGAATAGAGGACACTTGTGCACAAAGCACGAGTCAAGGTCCTGTACAGTCAATGGACTGTCGGGAACACAAACAGAGCATAAATGCTAGCCTCCACTGTGCTAAAATATAGCCGAGAGTATTAATTTTTGTCCACCTTTGCATCCAAAAGCAGTTACGTAGTTTGCACGTACATACGTAGTTGACTTGTTGCCTTGCCTTTCTACCTCATTACCTTGTCATTGAAACATCATGCGTGCTAGCTTCCATGAGCACTGTGCCTGTGTATATATGTGTGACACAGGAGCCGCTGATGGAGGAGTACAGTATAGCAGCTCAGGTGTGGAAACTGAATGCAGTGGACATGTGTGAGCTGGCCAAGAACTCTGTACTCATGAGCAGCTTCGAGGACTGCGTGAGCACTACACCTACTGAACTATGTAATAGACCATTGAAACGGAAATGAGGACACCTCTCGATCTGTAAATATTCTTGCATGCAATGATAAAGTGCAAACCCTCTGTGGCGCACTGTGCATGCATGGTACAGCTGATTGATGGGCTGGACTATGAGTGTGTGTTTTTTCACAGACAGACAGATTGGGAACCAACCAATATGGTTTGTCCCACTGGTTGGTGCATGGATTAGAGGGGTTCTACTTTTTGATGAGCGAACGTGAACAGTGCAATTTTTCGTGCGTATTTGGAACCACGTATATGGAACACATTATGGTGGAATTGCGGATCATAATAGTGACGACATAAAATGTGGGCTCCTTTCGGTCGCCAATTAAGCGTACTTCAATCCACACACGTGATAGCATGTGACTGCGCTATAATTATATTCCAATGACCATACTTCGGGTCACATACTATCAGCACTTCCGCCTTTCATGACAAACAATGTATGTACATATCTACAACTTACCCCAAGAAGTATGTTTATAACAAAGTCGTCGATGACTGCATGCACCCCAACCTACTGTAGGTGAAACAGCACTGGTTGGGGGTAAACTACAACGAAGAGGGACCGGCTGGGAACGACATCACACGGACCAATGTCCCCAACATCAGAGTGGCCTACCGCCACGAGACTCTGGTGGAGGAACTCAAGAACATCCTCCAGTGGGACGGTGGAACCACTGATGACTGACACCACCCAAACAGCTCGTCCCATGCCTTAATACAATGGGTCTATACATGTCACTTTTTGGTATCAAAATCCTGTGATAATTTTTTACTTTATGATTTCCATGAAAAATTTAATGACAATACCAATACACCGTGTGATTGATTATATGGTCATTGAGATGCGGACTGTTTATGTTGAATGAGGCCTTTCTGTACGAGATCTGGTATCTCCACCGCCAGCCATGGTCCCAGCTACAGAACATACATAAGATTAAGGATAGTTGGTTTTGTCTCTTATTACACACGTGCCTACAAAATAATTATAATTGTTAACACCTTCTTTGGGGGTGACAGCGAAATTTGGGCGAGATAGGAATAGGTGCAGCAAGAAAAAGTATGTTACTATTCCAAACTCCAACTGTAGTGAAAGTATTGAGGATAGTTTGCCTCTTATACCCTCAGTTGGGGGGACAACGAAATTTGGGCGAGATAGGAATAGGTGCAGCTAGAAAAAGTATGTTACTATTCCAAACTCAAACTGTAGTGAAAGTATTGAGGATAGTTTGCCTCTTATACCCTCAGTTGGGGGGACAACGAAATTTGGGCGAGATAGGAATAGGTGCAGCTAGAAAAAGTATGTTACTATTCCAAACTCCAACTGTAGTGAAAGTATTAAGGATAGTTGGTTTGTCTCTTATCATGCTAATGTGCCTACAAAAAATGCAACATTGTTAACTTTTTTGGGGGGTGACTGCGAAATTGGATAAGGAAAAGGTGCAGCGAGAAAAATTTGTAGATAGTGCTCCTGTTTATGTTGGCATTAGACAAGGTAAAGGTCTCCCAAGATCTACTGTTAGCTTCACACTCGTAGCTCACCCCCAGTGCCATAGCATGTCCTATTCCAAACTTTGGTACGTTCCTCGCCCACAGAGGTTTGAAGTGATCAGTGAGACATATCTTACCTCCTCTGCAGCACAACACACAGAGGATCGTATTGGCAGATACAGACTGTGAGGTGTATATACCTATACATCTTGGCTGTCTTCCCGTCCAGTTCAGGCAGAGCTATCTCTGGCGCTGTTGTAGGATACGTGACAGGAATCTGGAATAAGCGTAATGGTCATTAGTCCACACACACACACACACCTGGCCAGCAGGGAGAACGATAAAGGATTAGCGTCCGCCAGAAGTTGAAGCCAGACCTTCCTACCACAGATTTCCATTGGTTTTTAATGTTAAGGGCCATGCGTAGTAGCAGCCAGTCCCACAACAACTCTGGTAATAACATGAGACCGTCGAACTCCACTCACATCAAACTCGACGTTGAACTCATACTTCAGGAGGTTGTGGATGTACCAGCACTTGCCAAACCACCTGGTGCCGTCCTTGTTGGACTCCAGCCGAAACCAGTCGTTGTCCGAGTCCTTGTTCTGGCTCACGTACTGGTGACGGAGAGAGGAAGGGAGAGGTAGTGAGGAAGTAAGGGTCGAATGGGATAAAGTGTCACCTGTATGAGGCTCGTGTACTCCTCCTTGAGTCTGGTGGCCCACTGGTCTCCGTCCCGCGGCCCTGCCCGAGTCCGCAGCAGAGGAATAGAGGCCAACCTCTTCTTCGTTACTTCGTCCACCATCTTCTGCCGCGAATTGCGCATGCGCACTATGTAACAAAAGCGTAAACGCGTGTGCGCGCGTGAGTACACTGTCCGACCTTTCACTCCGAAAAAAGCAGTCAGTAAGGAAGCTGTAAGCTCTCCATAGTACCCCTCCCAGAACGGCCGACTATGTCTGAGAGCGGGAAGACGAACGGGGCCATGCCACCGGGCTACATCTCCCCGGACACCGCCCCCAAATGCACCTGGTCTGCAGGCAAGGCCTCCACGGAGTCACCTCACACAACCGTCCCTCTCAGGTGAGTGTGAGTTGTTTATCACAATTGCTTGATTGGCGATCATATTTATATTATATACAGTATTGTTTAGTGATTGCAGCTGTACAGGTAACAATGGGGATTTAGTGGTTGAATAGGGGTTAGGGTTGCCCCTTCGATTACGTATCCCGTGATGGAATTATTTTCGTAACACGTTCATGACACGATGTAGGGATAGACACGAGAGGGATTCGGTCCTGCCAGATGTCCTGAGGATGATTGGGAACACTCCTCTAATCAGACTGGACAAGATTGCCCGCAGCGAGGGACTCAAGTGTAACCTCTGTGAGAGCCTGTAATACACACATAGTTTCATCTGTCATTGGGGGAGGGGGGTGTATAGCTGATCTGCGATAACGTTTAGTTTTGGAGTGATTTCAGGGGTAAGTATTATACACCCTTGTCCCCTGAAAGAACGAACTGTTATGTTGATATGGTGAGATGTAGTGCAATTGGCCAAAGAAATGAACACCTATGTACAGTACAATGCATGAAAGGTGCATAATATTATACTATACAGAATTCGGCTCCTTGTTCACGTACTGGCACATACTAGCACGGTGTACTGCTGTGTGTTCTATGTGTGCAGTGGGAAAGTGTGAGTTCTTCAATGCCGGAGGCTCTGTGAAGGACCGCATTGCTCTCAGGATGATAGAGACAGCAGAGAAAGAAGGAGTCCTCAAACCGGGAGACACCATCATTGAGCCCACCTCAGGGAACACTGGTATATACAGCGTACGTTGAGTCACTGGGTGTCATAGTGCAGAGAATGTACGTAGGACAATGCTTGAACAAGAGCTCCATTCAGTGGGATTATAAATGAGCTACGTCGCGCCTGAGCAGGTGCAGGGCACTCACGTGGAACCAACCGAACCTAGCCTCCACAGTGGCCTTCGCTAGGAACTGCCAACATTGTGAAAGAACTGAAGACAAGGGGCCAGGAAGATCTGACTGTACATTATACAGGCTAGAGTTCATGGTATGCGGAGTGTGCAGTAGCTCTGTGTAATACGAAGACCCTCCCAGAGAAAGCCTTTGGTGTCCATCCCTGGGAGGGAGGGGGATCAACAGCAAAACTACCCCCTCTTGAATCCCTATTTAGCACACATGCCAGCCGATCAGCAGGACCCACTTATAGTTGTGTGAGGGAAATTGATGGTTTCCCCACATCCTGTGGAGTCTTCTTGATCAGAGACCAGGGCCACATAGTACCATGTAGGGATGCATGCTCCTCTAGCACATCCACTTATTGGTCTAGGACATCTTCTCTGGGTACGAATTATTCATCCCTCCTTTCTTTCCACGGTAAGCGCAAAGCTTTCGAGGGAGAGAACATGTGATTTAGTAAAAGAGAAAAGCTTCACATAATGAAAAGCACTGAAGTGTAAACCCTCGGCGAACTGCGCATACGCGGTATATTAGTATGCGTTACTCGCAGTCTCCCGCTAGTATATAGCTCGCAGAGAGTCTGCACGGGCTAGCTACAGTAGTAGATTAGCATGCGAGAGTCGATACACGCCCTTCGTTGTGACTTCTTGTGCCTTAAAAATACACAGAGCAAGCAGACCCGGTCCTGTGCTAAATATAAGCGCATGCGCATTTTCCGGTTAAAAATGGCATTAGCCGTACAATGGTGGAAGCGCTCTAGCTTTACAACGGAGCATTTTCAGAGAAAACCGTTCGAAATTTCTGACCTTCATTGCCCGTTCGGTAGGTGGTATCCTTTGTGAGACGAAAGAACGAGATTAAGAGTAACAGACACACAGACAGACAGACACACAGACAGACCCAACTACTGTAACCCTCGCTGCGCATGCGCGCCGAGGGTTAATTAAGTACATTACTGCCTATCTCTGAACATTCCCACCCTACGTATATATACCTTTTCTCCCATGTGTCTCCTACACCTCCCTCCACTCCCACAGGTATAGGCCTGGCACTGGTGTCGGCAGTAAAGGGATACAGGTGTGTGACACTCTAAGCATTGTGCACCGGTCAAAACTTTCGTGTGTTCCGTCACTTTCTTCCCCGCTCAATGATATTATACAAAACACTTGAAACAAACTATTAATTAAAGCCGTTTATAATTGCACATGACAAATATGCATCGGTGACGTTCAGTTTTCTCTTTGTCTCTGAGTTTGACTGTATAGTTATGTTCTTATATATATAGTAGGATGTAGTCCCACTGGTCTCTCTCCACAGGTGTGTGATAGTGATGCCGGAGAAGATGAGTAACGAGAAGGTCAGCGTCCTCAGAGCCCTCGGAGCCGAGATCGTCCGAACTCCGACCTCTGCAGCCTTCAATAGTCCCGGTATATAGGACTGTCGCATATTCACTAGCAAGTCGTTTGACAGAGAAATCCTTCATGGAATCTTTGTATATTCAAACCCACCCCACAGAATGCTAAAATGGTCAAGTCTCTGAGGGCTTTGACCTATTCATTTTCTAGTATCCAGGGCCTGAAAATTGGCTAGACTGCCGAACTTGGATGGCTCTTAGCTGAACTGCCAATTATATCCATTATCAAAGTTGGCCTGTATTCTATTTTATTCTATTTTTGAGCCTGTAAATGGTGTGGGAAATGTAATGTTACATGCTACATGCATGGAGGCTATTAGTAATGAGTGGTGTGTTGGTTATACTGTGATGTGTTCCATCTGTCCAGAGTCTCATGTGGGTGTGGCCTGGAGACTCAAGAATGAAATCCCCAACTCTCATATTCTGGACCAGGTGAGTGGGTGAGAAGAAATGCTGTGTCCACTTGAGAGAATGATGGTCAAAGCTGAACAGAATTATAAAAGTTTTTACTGTGCAATACCATGCCCATTGTCAGTTGTTTCATCACTGGTATGTGGCCACAGTATCGTAACTCGGGGAATCCGCTGGCCCACTACGACGGGACAGCGGAGGAGATCCTGTTGCAGTGTGGCGGGGGGCTGGACATGGTGGTGGTGGGGGCCGGAACCGGGGGGAACCGTTGCCGGAATCGGCCGCAAACTGAAGGAGAAACTCCCACATGTTCAGGTATGACGGCGTGATCTGTGGGGAATCCAATGATCAGGACAGTGCGGAGGGAAAAATCCAGCACCATTTCAGATAGAGAGCTGCCCTTGCGGGACTCAAACCTCTATCCTCTGTAAAGCAGAGTGCTCTTTCCACTGCTCAGCAAGCAGCAATTGTATTGCGATGTTAGAGATGTTGGGTTTGCTCGTCCATAAAGTATTGTGGGTCGCAGCAACTGCTGTTTGTCAATATTGGTTCACCTCAAGTGCGTGCCTAATGACGTGATATATTGTAATTGTATGTGCAGGTAGTAGGAGTGGATCCACTGGGTTCTGTCCTGGCTGAACCTCCTGAACTGAACGATACTGATGTCACAGGCTATCATGTAATGCACTCACACATACACTCACACGCACACTCACACACACACACTTTATATTGGCCTAGCATCTTCACATTACTAGACTTGCCAACTGTGAAAAATCCTGCAAATACACTGAAACGTGCCTGTTGCATAATTCAAAGATGTTGCTCTATCTGGTCAGGTGGAGGGGATAGGGTATGACTTTCTGCCGACAGTGCTGGACAGAGGAGTGGTGGACCAGTGGTACAAGAGCAACGACAAAGATAGTTTTGCCTTCGCCAGACGTCTCATTGCCGAGGAAGGCCTTCTCTGTGGTCAGTGAGTGTGGGATGAAGGGAGGGAGTAGGGGATGTAAACTTTGCTGAAATATATACCCTGTGTCTCCATTTATTACCCTCGGCGCGCATGCGCAGCGAGGGTACTGTAGTTGTCCTGTGTGTCTGTCTGTTACTCTCAATCTCACTTCTCGGGTGTTTGTTCGTCTCACAAAGGATACGACCTACCCAACGGGCGACGAAGGTCAGAAAATAAAGGCGGTTTTCTCTGAAAATGCTCCGTTGCAAAGCTACATCGCGAAAAAGCCAATATGCAAAACGCAACGGACGGGATGGCTTACCGCGGTCTGATCGATCCGCGTGCTCTGCGTACCTCGGAGGCACCAGAAGATGCAACGCAGGGCGTGTGTCGCCTCTCGTATGCTATCTAGTAGTGTAGTTAGCCCGCGTCAGACTCTGCGCGAGCCTGCAAGAGACCGCGAGTAACAGCTAAAACTAAACCCAGCCCATCAATTAGTGGTACAGCGCATGCGTTTACTTACGCGTGCGCGTCACAATGCGCCGAGGGTTTGCACTTCAGTGCTTTTCATGTTCTCACTGTGTTCACAACTGAAGAGGATAAAAACGTCTGGTTTTGTTTTACATATAATCAGCAAAGTAGAGTGGAATAGGTGTTCCCTAGTCCACCAAGAATATTTTGCTTCCCTTATGTTTGTTGGTCTGCTGAGATTATTATTCGACCATCAGTGACTGGCCACAGTATTAATTTAAAACTGAGTATCTGTGTTCATGGGCATCAAATGCAAGGTTTAACTCTAGTGCTTGGCTTATTTGCTCATTTCCCTCTTCTGTTTGTTATGGTCCACTTTTTGTCATTCAATGCAACCACAAGCCCTCAGCGCTATTGGATTGCTATAATAGATCAAGTTGCTATTTCTCCATGGATGTGTGCATACCCCTATGGTGGGAAAGTTTCTTGGTGGTGTGGGAGCAATCGGCAGAGACCACTTTAAAAGTGGCGAGTAATATTATCCTCTAGAGCACATTTTTATACGAGAATATTAAATTTTCCGGGTTTGTACGGTGTGTGTGTGTGTGCAGGAGGGTCCAGTGGTTCAGCTCTGTCAGCGGCACTGAAGGCTGCCCGGGAACTGAAGGAAGGCCAGACGTGTGTCGTCGTACTCCCAGACTCCGTCAGAAACTACCTGTGAGAGCACCTTTACGATACATACTCACACACGATGGGATGTCCTTATTAGCGAAATTTCTAGTGGGTAGCATTAATACACCTTTATTCACACACTGGATCTATACAAGGTTAGTGTTTCTCGTGTTCCATTGCATGCAGTGTCAACTTACCTTTTTTATCTTACATTTTGTGAGTGTCCGCTTTCTCCTCTGCGAAGAACAAAGTTTGTGGACGACCAGTGGATGGTGTGTGAAGGTCTGATGGATTGTGAGGTGCCGGCCGGGGGAGGGTGGTGGTGGTCCCAGCCACTCTCCGTCCTCCCTCTCCTGCCCATCATCACTGTCGGGGAGCAGGTGGGTGGCCACTAGTCCCTCCCTGGGAGTGTATGTTACTGCATACACAATGGGAAAAAAAGAAGGCAAAAGGTTAAAAAATGGCAGTAGTAGCGTTCTTCAGGGTCAACAGCCACTTGTTTTATCCTTGTAAGAACATCCGTATGTATCTCTATCTGCTTTTATAATTTCATAGTTAGAAGTGTGCACATTAAGTTGAAGCTACTACATACGTATATAGCCCTCTGATAGACCAGTGAAGGCTGTTTGGTTGGTGTGCAGGTGACGTGTGGTGAAGCTGTGAAGCTCCTCCAGGAGAAGCAGATCGACCAGGTCCCCATCTTGACTGACAATGGGTACACCACAACACAACATACCGTCCAGTGGGAAACTTTCGTGTTTCAGTACAAAACGCAGAGAAAATTATTTGAATAGCTGATTTCCACAATACAATGTCCTCACGTGGTGGAAAATACTTTCGTGGACAGCTAATAAACTACTCAGTATAGGAAAGTTTTCCGATCATATTCACTTTTTTTGTAAAACGTATGTTGTAGTGATGTGCTGGGAATGGTGACTCTGTCCAACCTCACGACCAAGATGGTCCGCGGACAGGCCAATACCTCCGACCCAGTCACCTCCGTCTCCTACACACAGTTCCGCAAGGTTACACACATACCACCCTCCAGTGGACAGTTGCCATAGTGATGTGATGAATGTTACTTGCAGGTGATGCCCAATACGTCACTTGGGCAGTTGTCAAAGATACTCGAGAAAGACCACTATGCCATTGTCATGCATGACTCCAACAAGAGAGATGGTATTGACCTCTCTCTCTCCTCTCTCCCCCCATTTCTAGTCTCGCTACCAGCCCCTCATACAACCCCTTTTCCTCTTTCTTTATATACCCCCTCCCCACTTCTTGCTGTCCTTATCTGCTCTCCTTCTTTCCCTCTCTCCCTACCTCTCCTTTCCCCCTCTCTCCTCTCCTTGCCTCCCTCTCCTCTTTCTTCTCCCTCCTCCATCTCCCCCCCTCTCTCCTCTCTCCGTTTCTCATCTCCTCTACCTGCAGCCCGTGGTGAAAAGATCAGTACAGTTGGAGGTGTGGTCACCAGTATTGACCTGCTACAATACATATCCAGCCAGCAGCAACAGTGATGACTGTAATTATTTTTGCCACTATACACATCCCCTTTCTTTTTTAGCTGTAACATATTTTACAACTTTACTTTGCACATGCGTGCATGACTTTAGAACGTGCTTTTTACTATATACTTTTACTCTCAAAATGTTCAAGGAAATATAGGGAATATATTAGGCACCATACTTTGATCCTTTGACCCGAACTTTTCGGATCAACCGAAAAACATTTGGTGGAAAATAATCTCTCTCCCCAAACTCTTCGATCAGTTTGACTCTGAGATCAAGAATGAATGTATAATACCATAAATATCCCTCACTCATTCTTGCTCGCTCCCCCTTGAGTTCGTATTGACGCGCGCACGCGCAAAGGTTCAAAGGTTTTAAGCAAATTACACGTGCGCGTGCGCATTTACACACGTGGTGGTGGGGAAGACGAGCATAAGGTTTGATACCAGGGAAATCTGTCGGTTTCACCTGTTAATCGAGATCGAGAACCTCTGGCCCCGACACCAGACGAAGGAGAATGGTCCAGCTACTAGCTATGAGGCTGGAATACAACGATGGCAGGGGAGATGGCGTTGCCTATGATGGTAGCCCACTGATCACGTGGGTCACCTGGCTACCGTCGACCCTCGTCGTCATCATACCTCTCGGTGCTGGAGAACCAGTACTCCCACTCCATGATGGCAGCTCTCCAAGGAGGGGGATGGACGTAACGGCAATCATCCTGCCACTGCATCGGTGCTTACAGAGTCTTGGGCCGAGACTCCACGTCATGACGGGCGTTTTTGACTGGCCGGTCATCCCTGCTGATCCTGGGGATGATGTGAACAACACCATCGCCCCCCGCCGTCATTCCGGCCATTTATGCGTTGGCATTGACTGCAATTGGGTGTTCGACCTTCTTGAGGTGGGCCAGCTGAGGATGGACATCCTCTGCGTCCATCGAGTGCATCGCCATGTGCTCGTAATCGGGCGTCATGAGGTTGAGGTCTGTCCTTACATTGGGCAGCAGGAGTTCAACCTTGCCATACCTCTCGGTGCTGGAGAACCAGTACTCCCACTCCATGATGGCAGCTCTCCAAGGAGGGGGATGGACGTAACGGCAATCATCCTGCCACTGCATCGGTGCTTACAGAGTCTTGGGCCGAGACTCCACGTCATGACGGGCGTTTTTGACTGGCCGGTCATCCCTGCTGATCCTGGTGATGATGTGAACAACACCATCGCCCCTCGCTGTCATTCCGGCCATTTCTGCGTTGGCATTGACTGCAATTGGGTGTTCGACCTTCTTGAGGTGGGCCAGCTGAGGATGGACATCCTCTGCGTCCATCGAGTGCATCGCCATGTGCTCGTAATCGGGCGTCATGAGGTTGAGGTCTGTCCTTACATTGGGCAGCAGGAGTTCAACCTTGCCATACCTCTCGGTGCTGGAGAACCAGTACTCCCACTCCATGATGGCAGCTCTCCAAGGAGGGGGATGGACGTAACGGCAATCATCCTGCCACTGCATCGGTGCTTACAGAGTCTTGGGCCGAGACTCCACGTCATGACGGGCGTTTTTGACTGGCCGGTCATCCCTGCTGATCCTGGGGATGATGTGAACAACACCATCGCCCCCCGCCGTCATTCCGGCCATTTATGCGTTGGCATTGACTGCAATTGGGTGTTCGACCTTCTTGAGGTGGGCCAGCTGAGGATGGACATCCTCTGCGTCCATCGAGTGCATCGCCATGTGCTCGTAATCGGGCGTCATGAGGTTGAGGTCTGTCCTTACATTGGGCAGCAGGAGTTCAACCTTGCCATACCTCTCGGTGCTGGAGAACCAGTACTCCCACTCCATGATGGCAGCTCTCCAAGGAGGGGGATGGACGTAACGGCAATCATCCTGCCACTGCATCGGTGCTTACAGAGTCTTGGGCCGAGACTCCACGTCATGACGGGCGTTTTTGACTGGCCGGTCATCCCTGCTGATCCTGGGGATGATGTGAACAACACCATCGCCCCCCGCCGTCATTCCGGCCATTTATGCGTTGGCATTGACTGCAATTGGGTGTTCGACCTTCTTGAGGTGGGCCAGCTGAGGATGGACATCCTCTGCGTCCATCGAGTGCATCGCCATGTGCTCGTAATCGGGCGTCATGAGGTTGAGGTCTGTCCTTACATTGGGCAGCAGGAGTTCAACCTTGCCATACCTCTCGGTGCTGGAGAACCAGTACTCCCACTCCATGATGGCAGCTCTCCAAGGAGGGGGATGGACGTAACGGCAATCATCCTGCCACTGCATCGGTGCTTACAGAGTCTTGGGCCGAGACTCCACGTCATGACGGGCGTTTTTGACTGGCCGGTCATCCCTGCTGATCCTGGTGATGATGTGAACAACACCATCGCCCCTCGCTGTCATTCCGGCCATTTCTGCGTTGGCATTGACTGCAATTGGGTGTTCGACCTTCTTGAGGTAGGCCAGCTGAGGATGGACATCCTCTGCGTCCATCAAGTGGGCAGCAGACCCTGCCGTAGCTGATGATCAGTAATAGCCTCGTACCTTGTTATTGAGGTGTATACCATCAGGACAGATTAAAACTAGTGTTTACACAAAGTGGAGTAGGATTGGCTTGTGATAGATGCATAGATGCTCTTTCAAAGTAGCTATATATGTATATAGATGTTTGAACTTTACTCTTCATTTTGTCACTGCGCCAATCATGCGGTCTTCTGGTATGCATTGTGCATGTTAAAAAAACTGCGGCTTTATATATAAACCGTCTTGCATGCCCCTGGAAGTGTTTTGCAACAATAACTTGGATTTGCTTGGTGAATTTTGCAAGCTTTTTGCAATATAGTCATTTGTACCATCAAGCGAGTCGTGTGTAGGAGCAGTCACAAGAAAATTTGAAATTTCTTCAGGAAATTTGTTTGTTGCAAGGTCGAGGTTGACTATATATAACTGTATACTGTACGGGACCTTGTAGCATTGACCTAAAGGGTTACATAGAGTTCAATTGGGAGCAAGATAAAGAGTGGTTACACAAGACTATCAGCTAACATTTCTCCTCCGCAACTGATTACTGCGAAACGCAAATTCCCCGGATCACCTAACTATTAGAGTGTTGCTGTGGTCGAGAACTTCCTCTGATTGGTTAGTCTGTAATGTTTCTTTGTTCCTTATGTTTACAAGTGTGGGGGACCAAAGGGAAGGAGGGAGGTAGGGGGAAAAAGAGGGAGAGTAGGAAAAGAGGATTTTGGATAAGAATGGGGAATGTAGGAGGGTTGAGAATAAAGTTTTGAGGCCAAGGGCACGGTGTAATTAACCTGCCGCGCGCTAAGCTGGTAGCTAATGCGCATGCGCGAAAAATCTTGGACCCGAATGAGTCGCGTTAGTATAAAGAGGCCGTGGTGTACCAGACGGTAGTATATTATATACACCAGCTAGCTATGACTTTATTAGTGATGCGTGGCATATTAGCGCGACTTCTGGGCATCCCGTAAGATCCTTGGTTTTTCTGCTTCTCTGTGTAGAAAATATAGCTACGTACGTATATAGACCGCTACCTTCTGCACTGCAGGTATGTTCTCTGTTTCTGCTGTTGTTGTCTGAATCTTGTTCGGAGTTTCGACGCAGAATTGATATGCAACACGGCCGACCTAACGGCGACGCAGCAGGAATTATGCCGGGAGGTCCCGCGGGCAATGGTCGTCTTGTCGGACGTAATAGCGACATTCGGAGACGAGTGCAGATGGCAGTTTAAGACTAGCAGGTGGAACTGTACGGGCATCGAGGCTCCTGTGTACGTCGACACAGGACTGGGAGGTGCGTTTTTTTCCATGCAATCTGGAGAACAGCTTTGCCTCTGTCTAAAGCATGCATCTACAATTTCAGGGCTCAGCCTAATTACATAAAGCATGGCTTCGTGATTATGCATTATAGCTAGTATTTCTCCTGTGTAATTGAGGGTAGTTTATTAATGGCACCACTTTAGTGAAATTTCACTCTTTGGAGGGCCATTCATCTTGAATCCTCCTACACAATAACCTGATGTGGTGAACCAGGGATAACAGCAGGTCGGGAGGGAAAGAGAGAACCGACTTCCTTCTACCAGGTCAACTATAGCGTTTCCATCAATTTGATGTGATGTTGGAAGGTTTTACTAACATCAATGGGCAAGGGAATGTCTTCGCTTGTTATGCCTACACAAACTCATTTTGTGTACTTGGGCTATTACCTATTGCTATAACTCTCTCTGATTACAGACAACCCCGAGTCTGCCTTTGTCCAGGCTCTAATGTCAGCCATCACAGTCTACAAGATTGCCGAAGCCTGCTACAGCAGTGACCTGGGGACCTACTGCAACACCAGCTACCAGGCAAACATCAATACTGGGAGGAGATTCGCTCAGAGATTCCTCGACAGTCGACCACTAGTTGTCCTCAGGGATGAAAATAGCACTCGGGAGGAATTGATACGAGCTCAACTTCAAATTCATAACAACGGAGCTGGCAGAGAAGTACGTCCTACTCGCTGTGTGCATGCAAGCCCCTTTTAATTATAAGCCATTTTCATAGTAACAGAGTTTGGAAACAAGTATGTTCTACCTGTAAACTTGTAAGCCCCTCAATACATATTTGTGGAGGGGTGGTCTGCACTTTTAAAACACTCATTGAGCTGAACCAGAGCTGCACAAGCACTGCACTTTCAAAGCTTCGAGCTAAGCCCTTGCTGTAATAAGTGAAGGAATTCTCCATAAAAATTGGAAATATTTTCTCAGATAGCTGAGCACATACAAAAGCAACTACCAATGGGTTCATAACCAGGTTATGCCTGGAACAACGGCCCGAGATCAACTTAGTTTTGCATGTGACAGACATAAGGGCTAGAAATTTTACTGGAGAAGTTTGTAGCTACCAATATAGGGCCAATTAGTAACTAGCCCTCGCATTCCCTTTAAGCTGCTACTCACCATTGTCCCACATTAGGTGGTGTTCGAGAAGAAACCAGTCTGCAAATGTGTTGGAATGTCTGGTTCGTGTACACTGACGGCGTGCACCGACTACATGCCGTCGATATTTGAGATTGGTGACCTCATTAAAAGGAAACATAACGAAGCGCTCAAAGTTGTTCCAAGTGTTGACAATGGCGTAGTCAATTTCCAGCTGGAACGCCAGGCAAGAGAGCGCCCAGGGGAACCCCCTGCGACGGAACTAATTTACATAGACACACCCACGAATCACTGTCAATCTGACCCAGAGTACACGACTTCTCGGTATTGTCTCCCGCAGACAAATTTGACCTCTGATCCCACGCTACGTCAGTTCTACCCTCCGTGTGAGAAGTTTTGCTGCAGTGGAGGCTACGAGACGACGACTATGACAGTCTCACAGTTCTGCAACTGTTACTTTGAATTTTGCTGCAGTCTCAAATGCGAAACGTATGAGGAGACTTTTACACAGTACATCTGTAGTGGAATTCCGAGATAGCCCCAACTAATTTATCACATATTATTGGCAAGGGCTTTCGGCACATGATGACCCACGCTGTTGGGTCTAACACTTCACTTTGTGCATTAAGTCTATCCATTGATAAAGTTCTTATTATAATCATACACATGCCACGATGACTAGTCACAGAGGTATAAAGCTACAGTTGGGAAACCAATGACACTTATGATACTGTTGTGCTTAGATGGAGCGCCCTTGACATTATTGCACCAAGGAAAGTAATGCTAATTGACACTTGCTATGATGCATATCTACAAAGGCATCTCAGTGGTAGGAAGAGGGGCAAGCAGCGCTCAAAGTAGCACACTCAGACATTGTACTCGCTAGCTATGGATGGAATGTGTCATGACCAGCCAATTTATGTTTGCAGTGGTAGATAATGCATGAGACTCTGAAACACAGTAAAATTTTTTTCCTTTGGTGTCTGAGCGGTCTGATGCCAACCCAGGGCAGCTCTTGTTTGTCCTGTGTTGACTTGTTTGAAAGACACTGCATACTTCCTCTGAGCTCTGGTGAAATATGCCGGCAGACATTGGTACCACCACCAAAGACAGCTCGATGGCAGTGTTTATAGTGCGCATGTGCTGTTACTATAGTAACCACTCTGATCCAAACTGGTGCGCACGATTTGGAAGATCGCTGCGCGGGGAGGGTGCAGGGTCGGAGGAGGGGAGACTCCGAGAGCTCCGAGAGTGAAGCCGTGGCGTCACCGAACCGACCACAACAGCCATGAGCGGGCGGTACCCCGAAAGTCGTATAAGTCTCAACACCAACAACAGCAACAGTGCCCAGAGAGGGACCACTCTTCTACCTGTGAAGTTTGCAAGGTCAAGAAATGTATGCGATGGATATAGCAAGCGACCTCCTCATCTGACGTCCAACAGGTCAAAGGAGACCCATAGAAGTGGCCAGAGCAGCAGACCTCCACCAGAGTACCAGACTCCTCCACCTCCAGCCATTGTAGACTGGAGTGGCAGTGGCTCAATTCCTCCCTCACCCAGGGAAAGGAGACGAGAGGGTAAACCTAGAAGTCAACAATCATCCTCTGGTCTTCACAGGTCGCAGTCTGTTGATAGGCTCAAAGACCCAACTTCAACAATGCACACTGACTTCTTTGCAACTAGGGAGGGGCAAAAGTCATGTGGAGGCTCACAGTATGCTGACAGCAGCAGAGAAAGATATAAACGCACACCTGGAGACACTCTAGCCCTCGCTGATGGACTGACAGTGACAGAAAAACAGGCCAGAGAGCGAAGCAAGAGTCCGAGACTAAATAGATCGCAATCTTTCTCACTTATCGGCTCCAACTCTGATCAGAGAACTGAACAAGTGCTCCTCGCCAAAAGACCTGGTGCAGGCAGTAAGACACACAGTCGACCAATGTTTCCCACCACCATTTCTCCCACCTGCACAACAGAACCTTCCACCACCTCCAGAACCAACAGGCCAGCTTATTATGACAATGGCTCCAGAACTAGTCTTGAGCCAGCATACGATGTAAATAGATATTCACATGTACCAAGTGATCCTCGGCCAAGGAGCAGAAGTACGACGACTTCTCCATCTGGTGGCAGTACTAGACCAGTCATATCTTCTCCAGCACCACCTCACACCTCAGCCCTGGGGCAGAGTCTCAAGTCTAGGAACACATCAACTGGTTCCCTGCCTGTGGGTACAGTTCCTCACAACTACATGGTCTTGGGAACATCTCAACTGGTTCAACGAGCTCTTCAACCAAGGATCCATACTCAGATATATCAGCTTCGACACACAATACTGGGAATACTTCAACTGCCTCTTACACGAGAGGTCCCTCATCACATAGGAGTCAACCATCACTGGATGAAGGTTACACCCACCGTTCAACAAACAGCACACCTGGTAGCACACCCTCATCCTCTGCTAGACAACGTGACCTAGGTAAGTCTTAGCAGTAGGTCTGTCAGTGTGTGTTTCACCACAGACAACCTATGCAGAGACGTTTCCCGAGTGTGGAGGTCGCGTGGGGCTGGGTAACCTTGGGAACACTTGCTTCATGAACTCCATGCTCCAGTGTCTGGGTCAGACTGGAGAAATGGCCAGAATATTCCTGGAAATGGAGAAACCACACAACAAATCTCTGGTCAAAGGTACATACATTGGAACCCCTCTCAAAGAACTTTTTTTTTGCATGCAATGTCAACCCTTGAAGTAAGGATATCTATTTCTTTTGGGTTTGGTGGTTTCTCCATATGGTTTTAGTCTCCAGATTAAAAGGGTTTTACTGTCTAAGAAATCTTTTTCTGAGCGTTTTTTGAGCTTTGACTCATTCTTAAACATTATGACCACTTCCCCTGCCCAGCCTATCAAGAGCTAATGAAGAAGATGTGGAGTGGTAATAAGACCAGTAGCACTAGCAGCCTGGTAGTGTCTGGTTCAGTCTACCCTCGTGATCTGAAAGATGCTTTCAGCCGGATGAACCCCCAGTTCAGTGGATTCAAGTGAGTCGTCGTGTAGTAAAAATCATTATTGTAAAAGCTTTTCATGTGCATAAAACGTCAAAAGTCATAAAACGTTAACTACTAAGTCATGTCAACAACGGGGTCTCAAGGCGAGCCTGTGCTATGGCACAGTGTACTCTCACTCAGTATGTAGGAGTAGACTGGGGTAATTGAACCACCAATGACGTCAAGCTGCAAACTATGTACAATGCGTACATGTATTAGATTGAGCAATTCCCGTCATTGCAGTCAGCATGATTCCCAGGAGTTCATGAGGTTCCTGGTGTCTGGTCTTCACGAGGAACTCAAGAAGGAGACTCGCGACAAACCCACTGTCCCCCAGGAACCCGAGTGAGTATCATACAGTACAGTACAATATCTAGTCTACTAGCAGGGTCTAAAATTGACGATTGTGCCCAACAGCCTTACTTTGCATTTACTGTCCATAGCAGTAAACTTCCAAGGACAGAAAACTTCACGGTTGTGCAAACTGTCTGCAATTAAAAAAGTTTCCTCCCTCAAAAGTTCCGCTATACTGCATGTACAAACTGTCACTAAGATTCCTACGTACTACCACCAGTCCGGAGCAGTGGTGGATGTGGTACAGGGAACTGGAGAAGTCACGACTGGTGGACGTCTTTGTGGGCCAGCTCCGCAGCAGCCTCACCTGCGGTACATGTGGACACTGCTCCGTCACGTTTGACCCATTCTGGGAGCTCTCCGTCTCCCTGCCCACCAGGGTGAGCCCCCTGCCCTACTGCTTTATCCCTGGAAGTATAATTCCAGCGAAATTTAAAATGTTAAAGTGGGAGTGGCAGCTTACACACACAATCGCAAAGATTTCTGCTGAGATATGCGAGATTTGCATCCAGAAAAATTTACACCTGATGATTTCTTGGGGGGGGGTGGTGGAGGAAAAGTCATTATGTACTACACTATTAATATCATAGTGGTGGTCAGATCCTTCCAATTTATATTAATATCATCTTCCAACTTCTGACTTTCTGTTTGTCTCAAATTAATATTTCGGTCCCTGGCTATGATTTTGTCCAGCGTTCGTTCTCCACTACCACCTACTCATCGTATCACGGAGTGGGCTACTCTACTGGTGGCTCCAGCTCCTCCGGAACCCGTCTAGAGGACTGCCTCAAAATCTTCACCGAGGAAGAGAGACTGGATGGAGATGAGCAACCAGTGAGAGTGGATTGATGCACTGGTCTTTGTCAACAGTCACACACACACAGACGTGCTGTATTTTGAGGGGTATAATTTTGTTTTATCAGATTTAAGACGTGCAACTTACTCTCTGGTTCCACTAAAAGTGGGTGTGATCACCGTTCTGAGCATAGATTGTACCTGTGCCTGTGTCCACCACTGTGTGGCTAGTAAAATTAGAGACTATAGACGCAATTTTATGCAACAAGCATGGTACTCTCGCACACACACACACACACACAACTGAATTCTCCTTCCTCTCAGTACTGTGAGAAGTGTAGATGTCAGGAACCGGGGGTCAAGAAGATGACTATTCAGAGACTACCACCAGTTCTTGTCATCCGTATCCTCTCTCTCACGCCTCTCCACACTTGAGAAGCCTTTGATACATACGAATCGAACCCCTACCCCTTTTTCTCTCCTCACATGCAATGTACTTCAGGCTTTAATGCCAGGTTACAAGCATGCATATTTTGCAGTGACAGATCAGCAGTAAACCCCCACAATGCAACTGTGTGTGCATCAAACCCCTAGGTTTCTCTGTGTAATATGACAGACTATTGTATAATAGACAGACCACTGTAGCACAGTGAAGGTCCTTGACGATAGTCTCTGACCAGATCTGAAGAGGTTCTCAAGCTATGGACGTCGCTCCAAGCTGGACACCTCGGTCACCATCCCCCACACCCTCAATGTCTCTGACTACACCACCAGGGGACCCTCTTGTGATGTCTCAGGTACCAAACACCCTCTAGTGGCTATATTATAACTTATCCACGGACTCCTAGTCTCTATTGTCCTTTCCCCCTCCCACCCCCTTCTCCAAGTATTATACGTACATTCTCTATGCCTTTAGTCAAGTCATGTGCAAGTGTACTAGTTCACACTTACACAAAAGTGGGCACTTTTTCCAGTTGATATATAAGAAGTCTGGGTTTTCATGTCAAATTTTGCATGCATAGGGTATGATGTTGCAGTGGAGTAGCAGACAGAGATTTCTATTTCATGTTCAATGACCTCTCTACCTGCAGACAAGCAGTATGAGCTGTACGGGGTGTCGAACCACTCGGGGACCGTCTACTTTGGCCACTACACTGCCTGGTGCAAGCACTACTCCAGCAACAAGTGGTTCTCCTACAATGACAGCCAGTGAGTGGTGATGAGGTGGGGTACATATGGGAATGGTGATGGACAAATAATTACAATGACCTTGGCACCGGCTAGTGCATGCGAGTACGACATGCATATGTGCCTGAAAGGAAACGAAATATAATAAACAGCAATGTTAATCTGGTTAAGAATTGCGCGAGTCTGTATTGGCCTGGATTGCACGCATGTTATTGCTGTCTGCCAGTCACTGAAATTAGTATCATACAGTAGAAATCATTGTATTTATTGTACCATTGAACTAGTTACATTAATTGTACAAAGTAGAATGGGATGTTTGTCTGCCGATGGATTTGGTATAATCCCCTTCTTGATCCTCACTTTGTTGTTGCGTATTATGGCATTTAAAAATCAACGAGGCCGCAAGGCAAATATACTGCAATACATGGCATGACAAGCCTTACATAGAATCCATGGCAGAGTCTTACCCACACACGTGTGTTGTGTTGAGGAGGATTGAGAGAAAGGAAGTGGCTGCAGCATGTCTTGCCGTATAAGGCAAAGTCTCCCAGGAAGCCCTGAGCCATACCAACACATTGCCTTATGAAGTGTATGACACAACAGGACGAGGAGTGTTCTTGCCTCATGAGAACCTCCTGATTGAACTATTACTCTTGACGATTGTGTCAGCATTTCCCTGCCACGCATTTCAGTGAGTAACTACGTGTATCACCGAGTTTTGTACCTTATTAAGAAATTGCTCCAGTATACTGACACAGTTGACACCCTCAGTTGGAGGGACAATGAAATTTGGACAAGATAGGAATAGGCAGCGAGAAAAAGTATGTTACTATTCCAAACTCCAACTGTAGTGAAAGTAGTTGGTTTGTCTCTTATTATGCTCATGTGCCTACAAAAAATGCAAAATTAACACCTTCTTTGGGGGGTTGGTATATAAAGGGACTGCAAAATTGAGAATAAGTGCAGCGATAAAATTATGCCATACTGCAAATGAGTCAAAGCATTACCTGGATACCAACTATCCCTGCTTTGCTTCAATCTCTTCTTCGGTGCTGTACAAATGTACACATGCTGACCAATATCTCCCCATACAGGGTGTCACCACTGACAGTTCAAACCCCGACCTTCTCCAGCTCCGCTGCCTACGTCCTGTTCTACAGGAGGAGCGGCAAACTCACCACCAGATGCTAGACCTGTCGTCTCCTCCCCCAGTATCCAGACATCTCCTCTCTCTCTCCCTCTCCTTCTTCACTCACTCATTCACTAACTCACTAGTGCTATCCATTGTGTGTGTCTCTCTTTGTGAACCGCAATCTTGCACTGTGTGAATCTTGTCCGGCAGGCATTCCTGTCAATCACAACTGACATTTCTTATGAAGACACAATATTCTTCAGCTGCGATATAGTATAGCGAGGCAAATAGCAAACTATTTGAGTGCATGCATGGTGTAACCTGAGCTGCTCGCATTTGATGTGCTGTAATCATGTCACACGCTACAGTCTATAATACAGTGGAGCAGGTGGTACTATGTTGACTTGAGATGTATATACTTGTGGGCCAGTGTAATTTCACTAATTGCCGTATCCTGTGTGTACACCATGGAGCAGTCCCTCTCATATCACAAAATCACGGAAGAAAGGTGTAGGCATGCCATGGCTCCCAACTAGCCCAGCTACATAGCTCCGTATGTCTGTGAGATCCAAACTGGCCCAGCTACATAGCTCCGTATGTCTGTGTGAGATCCAAACTGGCCCAGCTACATAGCTCCGTATGTCTGTGTGCGATCCAAACTGGCCCAGCTACATAGCTCCGTATGAGTTGTGAGAGCCAGTGATGGAAAGCGACACAGAAGCCTGTCATTTCACAGGGATCCTGGTGCAGTGTAGTTAGCAGCAACAGGTAGTAGATGATGATGGTTGGTTACTAGTGACAACTGTGGGATTTGAAACAAGAATGGCACTATAGACTAAACCACACAAAGGACAAAACTTCCTTCAGAATGTCCTTACTTGGTTCCCACTTTGATGTGTAAACCTGGCAGCTACTATTATAGTAATCCAGCGGGTATAATGGTTGCAAGTGGTGAAGTTTGCTAATGGCTTCATTGTTTCCAATTGAGAGTACAAGACACACAGCCCAAGTGGTTAATCAGGGTAGACCACTTCAGTTCACTCCTCCACTGTCTGTGTACACACCAGCCACAGTGAGTGCTCCACTCCACTACCCTCCCCTCCCCTTCCAGTCCACTGCCAGATACCTCAGCTTCAACACTGCTAAGGATTACCATCACTGATCGAGTTGAGCCTTCGAGATAGACTAGTACTTATCCCTCACCACTGACTACTGCCTCAACATTGTCCATAACTGTTATTGGGGTAGGGGTATCACATGAACGTATACACACACACCAGGCTTCCACCTACAGTCCTGTATACTAATGGATTCCCAGGCCACCATTATAGTACATACACATAATTATGAGGAGGTCCCAGAGTACTGCATACGTATATGAACATGTCACTGATGAAAAGTTAGGTGTGAAACTCTATGTACAAACACGTTTAGACACAGCAGGATTCCCAGACCCAACACTGCCTGGCTCTTGTTCCTTCGTCTGTGTTACTTCTCCATACAGAGTATTACATGATTGTAGATTGTGCATTCAGAGTATATATGTAGATCTCTGTCCGCTGGTGGTGTTTTTATGATCATGATGCAATGCGTGACTACGTCAACAGATGTAGAGCACTATTACGATAGCTGTGGTTCTACAGCTGATATTACTGCAGTTGACATGAAGGAGTATAGCCCTGAGCATAATCCAACGTGGCACACAACATAATTATAGTAGCTGATGCAGAATCGTACACACATTTCCCTTTGTTCCGGACAATGAGAGACAACAATAGATGTGCTACATTTGTCGTTCGACTGTTTGATTGTCTGTGCAACAAAGCGTGGTATTACACGATGAGCCTAGCAAGTCCCGCAGAAATCATACACCACCCAACCAACTGCCTTATACACACAGATGTTTGAGAAACACGCAACTAAATATGTGAGATAATATACGTATGCATCCAGGTGTATGGACTGGTATGTGTGGCACAAGGAGGGAAAATATGGTTTTTGCTAATTGAAGAAGGAAGGTTCATGATTGCCGAGAAATTAGTCAAATTATTTGTATTTCATAATGGCACTAGTGTGAGCATTGGCTATATATGGTACAGCGGGTGTTAAAACACCATATGTCGGGAAGGTAGCACCCAACTAAACTAGCACACCCTCACATACACAAATACACACACACACTCAGTATGTGGATGATTGCAAAAGCATGGGTTCCCATAGTGTCTCCATAGTCTCTAGGCCTACTGCATCATGTGGGCAACTCTTTAGGGAAAAATCATGACGTAGAAGCTTATCCTGATTTGCAAAATATCTGCCCCCAAAAGTAAACACGGCGAGTGTTTGGAAAGCAAGAGAGAGAGAGTGAGGCTGCAGGCTGGTTAGTACTTCTAGAAATTCTCACTCGTGCACGGTTCATTGAAGGCAGGTGAAGGACATTGGTTTAGGAGAGAGAGTTGCTGTGTAGGCTCAGTTCACTCAGGAAATACATGGCTCGTGGGCAATGGCTCGTGGGCAGTGGACCTTGGTTTTGTGTGTGCTGTGCCATGAACTGTAGTGTGTGCACAAGTCACAAAATCCTGATGAGTTTAGTTTAGGTAGTGCAGCTTTAATCAGTTTTGGGAAATGTTATCAGTCACTTACACCTCATACCTTTGGCTCACAGGGCAACAGTTTGTACAAGGTTGTCCACAAATTATGCATACTCACTTGACCGTCATGTAATTATACACGACCACACAAGAGGGCTTCTACCTGTTCCATTGTCAGAGTGCCATTTTCTACCAGCTTCTTGATATACAGCTAGCAGATACACATGAAGTTAGCTGCAAGTTTGAGGTGCAAGGCCTACCAGTAGGCCTGTCAGTATGCAAAAGGCTTGGCAAGGAAAGGACCACCTCCTGCCATTGAGCCTATCAATAGATACAGGCACAGGTCAAGTGCCACAGCCGGATTATTGGCAACACCAACTCTGAAAACAACGGTACAAGCCCCCAAGTGTACCGACTGTACGTACTTCCACCTCGTGTCAGTCTGGGGTATGAAAATAGCATGGCAGATGTGTTTGCCCACACTTTTAGCACCGAGCATGTACACAGAATAACTAGCTACCCTGCTGATGATGTATGTCGGAATGCAGGGGACACCTCCGGTAACATTAGCACTGCATTCCACAGGGAGGGAGAGTAAGAGGGTGGGTAAAAATTGAGAGACAACACACAAAGGATGCAGTGCTTGGCAACCAAAGGCACTCTGATACATGAGACCTGGCAACCAGCATACTTCCCCTCCAACACGGTACATGACTTCTACCATTACATCATGAGCCTCTGAGATGCACTATTCCCTCTGCATCACTACTATATATATACCATGCACCTTCCCCAGAGTATCTACACACCTTCCTTATACAAACCTATTCCAGAGACATGCAAGGTATGCTAATGGAGAGGTGGGAGATGACCGTAGTTGGGTGGAGGGACACGGGGGCTGTGCCACTCAAACAGGTCTATAAGTGCAACAGCTTTGGTGAAGACCGGAAAAGCACAGGCAAATCAAATCAGCATGGAAGCATGTGTGTAAATAAAGATTCCTGGCAGCCACACGGCACTGTTTGCCCTTCAATGTGAACACTTGATAGTGTTGCCTACTGCTAGATACAGTTGAGCATGTATACCTATCATTTGGTCACGTTTATACAACGATGTGCTTCCTTGATCTAAGAATCATTTGGACAGCTATAGGAGCACCAGTCAATGGGGTTTTTGTGGAGCAGAGACAAGGGGGAGAATGGGTGTAGAGGGAAAGGTGTGGCCCAACTGATTAAATCACGCTATTCTTGGAGAGACACGGTTGTGTGCCAACCCATTTCGTTACACGCGAAGACACAGCAGCACACAAAGAACATGAGCACCGCCGATAGCGTAGTTTGATGAATGGCTTGACATTGATTCCCTAGCTAGATTACACCACGGTACATGTGGTAGGTCGACAAACAAATACACACAGTGTACATATTATTCAAACACATGGAATTACACCTGACTGGTGGAAAAAATAACGTACAAATTGATGTCACTTGAGAGAAAAAGAGAAAAATACATAGCTTGGTGTATAGTGAGATTTGTGCATAAGTGACAATCCAGTGGAAAGTTTTCAATCTAGAAAGAGAGACACACGATTACAGTCACATAGACAACAGAAATGATTTAGAAAGAGCTACAAAAATATCGTGACACAAAGCATGGACTCTCTATCAGTGTGCATGTGTGTGTGTTTGCCGTCACCCCACCTCTCTGGGACACACGTTATGCTAGCAGTTTGTGGTGGACGTGACATATGCGGGGTGGAAGAATGGCGACTGCGAGAACTCCTTCTCAAAGTTGAGCGGTGAGAGACGAGGGGGCGGGGTGTAGTCCTGGGCTGCAGCAGCATTCCCCATTCCTCCCTTCACTGCCAATGTACTGTAGCCTGCCACTTCGTCGTCGACCATGGCGTCCACGTACAGCTGAGGTTTGTAGTGTCTGTCTGCTTCGGTCGATTCGTGGGTTGTGTTCTTCTGCAGACTGTCGTACAGCGGGGAGTCCACTCTGATGAGGGCGTCGTAGACTGGCGAAGTCGGGGCAACGTGGTCCGACCCATTCTGTAATGGGACGGAACCCGGCGTCCTGGCAGGCGACGGAGGCTCTTTCCCGTTTGTCAGATGCAGAGTGTCGTACTGTGGATCGCTGGGGACAGTCTGGGGTGGTAGGTGGTGGTGGTGGTCGAGGGAGGATTCCCCGGCAGGAGAGTACCCATCGCTGCTGCTGTTGTGGTCGCGAGGGAGACTGTCGTACTGTGGGGACATTGGCTGGGCGGGAGGCGATGCGTCCCCCACTCGGCGGTTGTCCAGGAGGTCCGGCTGGCTCTGGTGGTGCAGGAGAGAGACGGTGTGCTGAGGAGGCATGGAGTGTCGCAACGACATGCCTCCAGGAAGGCTCTCCTGGGCAACTAGCGGCGCCAGCCGCTGCCCTGGGGTCACATCAATGTCGAGTGACTTGCAGGTCTCCACTGCAATGTGACGTTTCTTCCCTGACGCCTTGTGAGGTACTGAGACGTTCTGGAGCTGTATCCTGGGCCTGCATGCGTCCTTCTTCCGTTTCCCACCCTTTGCCTCGACATTTCTCCTAGCCTGAGCCGATCCCAGGCCAAAGAAAGTGGCCTGGATGTCTGTCTTGATCTTCTCTATCTCGATGCACTCGTCCAGCGCCTGCGTGCCCTGGATGTGCTGGAAATTGCACGGCTTGGAGATCATCTCCTTCCTGAACTGTGCTGGCGAGGACGATCCGCTGCCGCCTCCTTTGGACCTCTCATCCTTCGTCTTCTCGGCGTCCCACTGCAGGTAGGCGCGGAGAAACTCTCTGGCCTGCGACGACTCCTCGAACAAGAGGCCCACTATCGCATTCAGCTCCTGCATCACGAAGACGTGGAACGTGTCTGTGACGGCCGTGTAGTTCGAGCCGGGCATCACGGCTCCCTTCCAGACGAGGACGCCGTACGTGACGTTGTAGAGGCATAAGTGGACGGTCCAGACGAGCTTTCGTCCGCTCTTGGCCACCTCTTTCTTCCTCAGGAGGCACGTCACACCCGACGAGACGTACTGCCAGCTGACGGCCGACGGATCATCCGCGTAGGGAGACACGAACACGTGCGTGAGGCACTCGCTCACCTTGGCGCCCGCGTTCCTGCTGGACACGGAGAACTGTACGCGCTCTATGACGTCCTTGGAGACCTGGGTCTCCGGAAGATCGAACTGTGCACGAGACATGGTCGCCAACAAGGCGGCGCTCCTTCAACACAGCTCCGATTCGCAGAAATTTGTAGGTGAAAAATCAACTCTAGGAACTCCTGCACACTTTTACACGAACTGACAATCCAAGATTCGCACAACTGGCTCTTGGCACTTGGAAAGATCTGGGGTGTTGAAGCGACTCGCCGACTCGTCTTCCTGCCAGACCGGAATCAACGCGCAGTAAGCGGAAACGCAGATATTTACGCATGCGCATGGCGGCAGGGCAAAAAGAGAGAGAGAGAGAGAAAAAATTAATGGTGACAGCATCACAAGTTTGCTGCGGGAGGGGTTGTGGTAGCCACATCACTGGGAAGCTGAGGCGTGTAGACTCCAAGGTCACAGAACACAAATCCCTTTGATCTGAACTCTTGCATCATAGGCAACTGAGGCATGCAGAAAATGTTCCACAAACAAATTGCTCAGTGTTTTTTTCAACCCACCTTCTTCGTCTGGTCCAAACAGATTCCAATTACTGCCCCTCCGCTGCCTGAGAACTTGGCTGAGGAGCCATGCTGCACGGGAAGAGGAAGGCATGCAGGGATTCCCTCTAATTATGAGGAAATGGCCACTTCAAAAACACATTACATCATCGCAACACCTCACATGCCAGAACTGCCAAACGCATACGTGTGTGCATACAGCATCTGTAAATGTTTCTGCCATATACCACCCATGCATTTATGGGAAATTTACACAAGCAATAGCTCGAGCTAATATCTGTGAAATTTGTCAGCACACAAACACTAAACTTCACGTTCAGTACATCTCCAAAGTCTGTGACATGACGTGGTGCTGTTGTCTGACCTTCCGAGCAATTTCAATCATCTCCAAGTTGGCTTCCCCGAGGGCTTGGTCTCTGTAGATTTTCCTGCACACAGCAGAAAACGCCACACACTGACCCTTAGACTGATGTTCATTGCCTTGAAAGACACCAACGTTGCATCGTGCCGTTAATCAAAATCGATCCTCGTAACTTGGGACGTGGCATGGCACTCGCACACTAGCCTTTGCAACATATTGTGAACCCAGCGTTACCGTGTTCAGTGCAGCTAAATGTATCTGTGCTAGTGCTAACACCCTCATAACCAATACCCGCGCAGTGACTGGTGAGATCTCTCTACCTTTGAGTATGCGTGGTAGGTAATATGTACCTATTATGTCATACCTTCGTGTGTCAAAGTTATCATCCATCAGTGCTGACAACCTAAAGAAACAGATGATAGTATTCGTATACAAACCCCAATACGTATATATACAACTCGAACCTAATATTCTGCTAGACATGACCTGGTGTGCCATAAAAGACATGTATTTATGTCTCACAGCTTCCAATAGTGCGTGTCTGTGTATGCTGCACATGATGTCCAAAGCACGCACAAGAGGCATTCCCAGACCTTCCAGAAAATGTGCTATAAATGTACACACACACAAACTATCACGTCATGGCAATGGACCTCTGATGATAAGTGCCGGATGTGTGTACGTATTATGGTGTGCACCTACCGTTTATAGTCTTGTTTCATAATGGCATCTCTGGGAAAGGAGAAGGTGAGTGTGAGTGGTACTCCAAGAAACACATGGACATGTGAGGGATAGCTAGTGTGTCTTACGGCTCACTTTGCCTTGTCAGTCAACTCAGCAAAGTGGTCCATGGCTTCTAAGACCTCTTTGTCCTCTGTATAATGGACAAGAGGGGATGGGGGGTAAGATGAGGAAGGAAGGAGAGAGAGAAGGAAGGGTGGAATAAGGAGTGGGGAGGAAGGAAGGAAGAAGGGAGGTAGGGAGAATGAGGAAGAGAAGGGAGGGAGAGAGGGAGATGGAGAATTATTTGGGATGGCAAAAGAGCATATAGCTGATGGTGACTGACTCTGTAGCCATCTCTGTTTGATGTTGCTGTGTATCTTGCCGGAGTCGCTGGGGTCACTGAGGTAGGCCAGCCACAGGGGAGGCAGTTTGTCCGCTGGCAGGTACTCATAGTTACCTAACATTATATGAGGGAGAAGAAGAATCAGTGTTTGTGGGTAGTCGTCGTTGATGTTGCTGATTTTCAGATGTAAGTATGAAAATTCGAAATAGCTCTATTAAAACCATGGAAACGTCTGTCCAGCTTGCCCAAAGGTAAGATAATGTAAACATTGATGCCTGCAGAATCAGTAAGGTGCCTGGCATGACTGAAATGGGAGAGGAGGAGGAAAAGAGGACAGGGATTGTTGTCAGCACATGACTTATTGCGTGTTTTGATGGTGAAATTACATAGTTTGGGAGAAGGCCAATGGGGATGTGAAAGATGTACACAATCTTTAATCACAACAACAATTGCCCATAAATGGACTAAATACGGACAAATTAATCCACAATTGTTGTAGGCACTGATATTAAACACACGTGTATAAAAAACAGTAGATACTAGACTGACTCCTTCACTACTAATAAATACTACTGACTCTCTCACAGAGAGCCTGGGTACGTGTTTACCACTGCTGACCATGTCTCTGAGACTCCATGAGAGACTTGCTAAAGTCCATGTACACCACTCCCTCATACACCTGCAACAGCACAACAAAAACAGGGAGCGAAATGCAAAATAATTATGAGCGGCCATTGATTTCGCCTAAAACTGGCTTGGCAGTCTTCGTGTGTAGCATATTACTGTGAACTGTGAGTAATTCCATGAGTGTGAAAGAAGGCCAATCTGCCATATTTTCCCGCTATACAGGTACGCCACAAGCCTTCACACAGGGTATAAATAGCGTCTCTTTGGTTGTCCTGTTACGAGGGTTCCACTGTATTAATATCCATAGTGTCTGGATAAGAGGAATTCCATTGCATTAAATCTTCTGTCCCATTACTTAAGAGGGGTGGTCCCACTGTATAATATATGACCTGTATGACTCTGTCCTGGAGTCCTGCCTGAATGAACAGCTCACTGGCCTCCACGTCCAGCACAAAGTTGGGCTGCAGTGGCTTCGGCATGTCCTGCAGCAGGCAAAGAATGACACACACACACAATGGGTGAGGGAGAAAACTATGTGGATTTAACATTTTGAAAGCCCATCTGTGTGAAAGTTTTTCCTGCAAATCCCTGTGGACTAGGTCATTTTCATATGCAGGGAAAAAACAAAAAGCAAAAACATTTTGGTTCATTCTGGCAAGGGTTTCTCCTTTGAAAATTATGTGTGATGTGTGGCGTGAGTGAAGTGAAAGTGACATGTTATTGACTGACTGATGCAGAGAGGTTGAAAAACTTGAGGAGGCATTTCATGGTGGCTGTGATGATGGCACTGCTACCTGCAAGACCCTGGGAGAGGCAAGGGGAAGTGGGGAGAGGAGAGGGGAAGGGGGAGAGGGAGGGAGGGAAAGATGGGAGGGAGCGATAAAGGGAGAGAGGGGAGGGAGCGAAAAGGGAGAGGGAATGGAGTTGAGAGAAGTGTGTATGTAAGAGTTGGGGTGGTGATAACACAGGGGTGGGAGAGATGGTCTCATGGCAAACAGGCCTATTAACATGTGAGACGGGCAGGGCAGTCTTTCCTGGTGAAAGTATGTCAGACATGACACTGAACAGGGTGCAAGCCAGCGAATACGAATATGACACTGAACAGGGTGCAAGCCAGCGAATACGAATATGACACTGAACAGGGGACAAGCCAGTGAATATGAATATGACACTGAACAGGGGGCAAGCCAGTGAATACGAATGCACACTTTAGCGAGACACCCTATCATAATGGTGTATGCATGTAAGCTACTGAAATGGCAAAAGCAACAAAAGCAACAAAAAGCCCAAACAACCAAAAATGTCTCAGTACGCACACTGATAATAGGATGAACCATGTTCACTACTCAAAGGTCCCATACACCAGTGACACAACGGCAATATGAAGGAATACCACACTAGTACAACAAACCACTTGTCTCGGGATGTTTGTATCGTACTGCAGTGCAAAGTTCCTCCGTCCCAGTGCTATTCTGCAGAATGTAAACCACATGACGACACATGCCGATGAAAAATGCACTCCAGTAAGACATGAAGAGATTGAATTACATAACACATTGTAAGACAAGCAAAGGAATGGATATGGACACCCGGTAGTAAAAGAGGACACCATTTCACCCCATTCATATACTGACGCGAGCTATATACATAAAACTTCCCACTCTGACCCATTAGGTTATATAGCTGGAGGGATAATAGGTATACATGCTCACAATGTTGGTATATACAGTAGGGCAGCATCGCTCACAATGACACATACACTACAGTAGGGATAATAGAGCCGTGTGGGTTGAATTGCCCTTTGCTTGGCAGGGTAAAGGTGGTTGATTGCAAGCCCTTGTGTGTTACGAAGTAGGAATACACTAGACTTTTATTCAAGCGTTTGTTGCATCACAACGCAAGCTATGTACTTTAGTGTTTTTCGAGCCTAGCTTTCGAAGTAACCACGACACCACAGCCAATATTGTGAACACGCCTCTATGGTATAGACAGTAATGGAGTTGCGTGGCTCACACTGACCCGTGCTGGGCGCAGTACTGGTAAAACTTTTTACAGGTAGCCTGGAGGAGCCTGAGTCCACCGAGATAGCTGCAAGGACACAGAGGAGAGGATGAGGGGAGGAGGGCCGAGAGGGGGAGAGAGGGAGAAGAAGAGAGGGGGAGAGAGGGAGAAGAAGAGAGGGGGAGAGAGGGAGAAGAAGAGAGGGGAGAGAGGGAGAAGAAGAGAGTTAAAACGTCTACACAATAGACAGAGAGATGGTGAGAGGAGAAGGGGCAGAGGGAGGGTGCAAAACAAACATACACAATAACGAAGGAAGACAGGACAAACGGAGACGGAGAGAGGAGAATAAGAGAAAGAGGAGGGAGGGGTCAAAGAATGTGGAGACACACACCCACTCCTCACCCCTCCTTGCGACTGACGAGGTAGAGATCAGAGAGGCTGCCAAACTCAGTCGGGTCATTCAGAGGATGGAGGTTCAATTTCTACAAACGACACAACACAACACCAACTGATACCGAGAGTCGAGCAACTTAAGCTGTGGCACTACATTGAGCAAAGAGACTGTGTTCCCAATATTTGTATGAAGACACCTCTGCATGACTGTCACCACTCACCGTCCACCAACATAGCACTGATAGAAGACTCATGTATCCTACCCTCCACATCTTTGCACTGTCCATACTGTAACGTTTCATTAACTCTAAATACATGCAAAACTGCAGAAATAAAAATTTTCACACTCATGTTTGATCACCCACCAATAGTACGTTACATTGAAATAGAGAACACGGTCCGGTAGCACTGGAGGTGTATTTCTGACTGAGTGGACAGGACTGTATACAGTATGTATGTATGTACGTGTGTGTGGCAAGCATAGAGCCCATTGCCCACGACAGACAGACATGTGCACGTTCTGGCTGGGACATTAGCTCATCAATGGACCATGAAACATACACACAGCTGTAGCTCATTGCTCATGGCTGGCTTAGGGGTCAAAGGCACGTGCAGGGGAGCATTGGCAATGGAAGAAAAGAGCTGAAGCATGTCATCAATAGGGGATTAAGTACGGACTGCTGTTGACCAACCAGTCATCCTACTAATACGAATTGCTCTAGCGGTGGTCCCAGGTGTATATGGAAGTTCATACACGCACCTCAAGGGACTAAAGTTGGCAAAACGGCCCAGTATATACAGAGTGCCACACTCTTCATTGCATAATTTTTGCAAGTTTTGAAGTTTTCAAGAATAACAATCTAATCTTTGATAGACCATTGGTTTTTTGACAATTTTTTTGCAGGGAAGAATTTTCATGGATTGATATACTTGCCTGGAAGAGTACGGTTATCTGAACATTTTCTACCAGTGTGTGGGTGTGTGTTGGGGGGAGGCAAATGTGGAGTGGAGTGAAGTGGGTGTGGCTCACCAGTCGAGAGGACTCTGTGATGGTGACCTCGGCCCAAAAGTTGCTGATGGTAAACGAGATTGTCTTGCCGTAGAACCCGTCAGACGGGTTTCCTATCAACCCCACCCTGTAGTATAGAGCACACACAATGGTGGGCTATACAGTTAGTGTCAGGTTGTTCGGAGGAATCGTGGATGTGAGTTGAGAATTCACCGTTTCTACCGACAACAGTACATACATGGGAAACATTCCTGAATGACCATTTCAAATCCATAGTTATTTTATGGAGATTTTGCCCCTACGTACAAATGGCCTATTACTATTACTATTATGGACATAGGTGTCAAACCTGTGAAATTTGTTCTCCCATATTATTTATGAATTCGAGAGACAAGGGTTTGTGCACAGCAGGTAATTCCGTGTTCATATACCCATCCCCCCTCTCCCTCCCTCCTCCACTCACCTGGCATAGCAGCGGTAGGTGATGGGTGCGGCCTTGGTCCTGGAGGTCAGCTGGGATTCCTCAAACCACTGGACCCCACGACGGTACTCCTCCAGCCCGACCTGACCTATCAACTGGAACGTTGACGGGAGCTTCATCCCGTACACTGTTGTCTGCTGTACCAGCCACGACTGATAATTATAGAGAAGTACAGGGACAGGTAGATGGTGGGGGGAGAAATTTAGCTTGTTTAGCTCGAATTTTGCAACAGTTTAGTTCAATGCTTGTTACTTTTCGATGGCTCAGGTGAGTCACAATAGCCTTTAGTTTACCAGCATAGCCAGTCTCTGAACGTGTCAAAATAGCCATTCTTTTGTCAGTTGCTGCATTACTAAAGATTATTCTCTTGTGGAGTGTACAATTTCCAAGGAAGATCGGCAAGTTATGAGGTTTCATAAATAACAATCTATCGTATCATTTGACCATTTCTGTCGAGCATAATAGCTCGAGACTTGCATGAAAATTGGTCGCTATACCTGCATACTCTTGTAGAGTACGAGAATGGTGGTAATCTTACCATGAAGTGTCCGAGGGCACTGTGTTTCCTGTCCGGGACAGTCTCACTGTAGGCGATGAGGAACTGGACAGAGCTGCGGCGGAGGCAGTAGAAGACGGGGCTGGCTAGACGGGACTCCGTCTCGTGGCTCTCTGGCTTCTCCAGGAAGTTGGTGATTCTGAGCAGCGAGGGAGGCAAGACGGGGAGGATGGAGGTGGGGAGAGAGGGAGGGAGGGAAGAAGAGAGGGGAGAGGCGGACGGAGGAAGAGAGAGAGAGGGAGGGAAGGAAGGAGGGAAGGAGGAAGAAGGCAGGCAACGGTTATTAGCAGATCTTCACATCTAAAAAACTAACAAACACCACATTAGCGAGTCTCCTCCGCAATCGACACATTACACTGCAAAACTTGCCCACCTGCCAGTGGTGTGGTCCACTTCCACAATTCCTCTCTTCCTCGGGTCCTCCCCTTCTCCCAGCTCGTAGTATATAGCCAAATCTCCCTTCTGTGGTATAAGTACGTAGATACACGCGATACAATACTATGGCACACACGAGGCCACCTTAACTCTCTGGACTGGGGTTTTGTTCAAGTATGTGAGTCAACGTACACGGAGCTTGAAGTAGTCTAGGACTTGTCCCACATCAAAGTTATGGCTGAAGAGCATGTCACCAGACACCTGCACGGTATTACAGACACTGTATAGGTTAAAGGGAATGGTACAGTATGTACACATACACATACAAAAATGTTACTAAAAGATGGATAGCGCCGGTCGAAAGGATTTCCGATTTTAGTAACAGTTTCTAAATTTAGCCCCTATGTACTGCCACATTCCTTCAACAATACTGAGAGAGATAGAGAGAGAGCGGAGAGAGAGAGAGAGAGAGAGAGAGAGAGAGAGAGAGAGAGAGAGAGAGAGAGAGAGAGAGGGCTGTCTGCTGTATGGGCCATACCACCATGACATCGTCTTCAATATTCTTGCTCCGAATGGCCAGGTCAAGGTCAGCAATGGCTCCTAAACTGTATGTAACACACAATAGTCAAAGACAGACTTTACCAACACACAATCATACAATAGACGCTGCGCGAATGAATGCTGCATGTCTCTAATATACAGTTGTCAGTCGGTCTCAACTGTTCAGTTGTATGATTATGGTTTAGGTCTTCATCATGTATAGCATGATACATCTTTATGACACTAAGTATATACGTACCTGTTATCAGGAGTGGTGGAGCCATCGTTGATGATATTCTGGAAGGGGAACTCGTGTGCTGAAGCCCATCGCTCGTAATACTTAAATCTACACGAAGACAGCAAGAACATACTGCACTGCACCGTGTACATTTTTTGGGATGCACTTTAAATACTATCGCATATTCTGTGAATGACTAACAGCACACATATCAAGAACATACTGTGTAGTGCGACTGTCACGTATTCACAATCACAAAATCCTGTGATGAAAAATTTTACACCCAATACTCAACGATCGGAAATTCTGTGAATCAACAATCTTACACCTAACGAAAACTGCGCAGTAGGCATCAGCAGCATCACCGCATGCATACATCCCACTATGATTCAGGTATATACAAAACTATGCATAAGCTCTCACTTGGCAGCGTTAGTCACCAGGTAGACCTCTCTGAACTGCTGACGACTGCAAGATTACACAAATGACGATCACATCCTCAGTCACACACAAAAGGGTAGAATAACACCGATTCAAGTGTACTGGTGACTTGTGTGTGTATGTGTGTGGGTGTGTTCATGGTGTACGTACTCCAGTGGAGGAGGTTCGGACCTTTTCAGAGCTGTCCACCAGCAATCCAGGATGGTGTCTCCGTACTGGTCCGTGGAGGCCGGGAGGAGGGCCTTCGGTACACCCACCAGATGGGAGTAGGACCCTGCAGACTGGGTATTACATAGAGAGGGTCTGGTCAACTTAGTACACTGGGACAAGAGAGATGGGGATGACGTCTTTACAAAGGACACTTGTTTCAACCCATTGCTAATATACCTTAGTGTATTACTCAGAGATAGGGACGACCTCTTTACAAGGGACTAAATCGTTGGCTCCATAGTGTCCCATGTTCGGAGGTTCCACTGTAATGCCCAGAGAGGGCGTGGCTGGTAGGTAATGTTTTTTACCTGGGCGCTTATCTCCTGCTCCAGCAGAGCGCCATGACCGGCTACGAGGATGATACAGATCATGGCTATGCCTCAGGAGCACGTCTGAGCTAACAGCTCCGTCAGTTCCCGGCTAGACACTCACGATCACAGAGCTTGCGGTTCTCCCACACGCGCACGCGCACCACGTGTGTAGTCATGCGCATGCGTATAAACGAAACAACACCGATATGGTATAAAAATTTGGAGCGAGAATTACAAATATAAAGGGTGGCACTCTCAATCACGGACTCTGAGCCATTTTCATTTTCGTATTGGTGTGTGATTCGGTGGTCGAATAGTTGGTGCTTGTGGAGTACTGGAGGTCATAATTGTAGGGGTGTCTCTTGCAACAGGGACAGTGGCGGAGTCTGGCGAGTCCGATCTTGAACTTCTCTCTCACCTTGGCCGTGAACACACAGAACAGGACGGCATTCACAAATCCCTGCCCAGAATCTCCAATGCCCTGAGAGGTGTATATATAATGTACAGTGAGCATGTCATAAGGAAAAGATTTATATTTCGTGCAACGTTCCTTTCTGTACGGAATGAAGTACTGTACTCTTGGCAGGAAGCAGTAAAAATGCAGTTCCTCCAACAAGCCTTGAAAGCTATCTGTACGCAATCTGCAAATCACTTTTCCATTTATTGTGCACACCTACACGCTATTTGGTGATACTTGCCACGCCTCAATCTGGAGCACTGTTCTCTTCCATTTAGATTTTCACCCGAAGCCGAAGAGTATAGTACAAATTACGAATTGATTTGTAAAGCTGGAGGCTCTGAAAACTGCACACCAAGTTAGGGTTGTGTGTCATTATTGGGAAGGTTAACTGTGGTTAATGATGAGAGACAGATCTGGCATTATGAGTAAGCTAACAAAAGGTGCATGCCCTAAATTGTAGTGTTCTACTGTTTGCAGGCATGTTTTTGATCCAGTTGTACACATACTTACATACTTACAGCTATACAGAGGAGGATGTAAGTTGCTAGGAGAGATATGGTAGCCTGTGCATAGACGTAGACAATGACGACCACCATACTGCCCAGTCTCAGGAGGAGGAAGGCCAGGGGGATCAGGAGGAACTTGATGTCCACTGACGTGACCACTGAGGAGCTGTGGGGCCGCGACTGCAGTGTGCTCTGTAGCTGCAGCAGGAGGCCGACGGGAGGAGAAGAGGAGAGAAGGAGAGGGTGATAATAAACAGAGTATATATATACTGAGCTGAACATAAAATAATCATCGTTGGCCCCCTGCTTGACTGCATTAAACCAGCTGAGCATTCAGTTTAAGACTGCGTATTATGGGGAACCACAGGGTGTGTTTCACTTTTGCTCTTGAAGTGTGGTCTATGGACACACTGTCACTAGCTTTTGCTCTAGAACCATGGTCTATATAATTATAGTCCTTGTGCCATCACTGCCTTGTGACTATTATCCGCTGTTCTTTTGCAGTGCAGAAGGTGATTTGATGGGAATTTTGTGACTCCAAAAATTTCCCGGTATGAGGCACGCACACTGTTAAACGCACAATTGTGACTATAATATACAATAACACTGAGTGCATACGTTTCTCCTATAAAGCCCCTCAGTATAACACCTCTCACTTACATAGGCATGATGTTTGATGTGGCAGTGAGTGGTGAGGTACAGGACGGTGACCACAACGACAGTGAGGTATATCCACAGGTCGTTGCCGAGAACGGTGATCAGAATACCAGTGGAACGGCTCTCCTGCTCTATCTTCAGAGAACACCAGCCGGACCCTCCGTGAGGAGAGTGGCCCAGTCGACCTGAGGGGTTCAGAGACACAGCAATAACTTGCATTGTGTGTAATATTTGGTGTCTCTAAAGCTGAAGCAAAGGTACCGAACTGCATGCACATGCTTAATAGACATCACTATGATGCATTTTTGGAAGGTTAGCACCGTTTTCCCCCACTACATCAACTTTTATTGCATTTAGCATTTCTCAATGCTAGGAAGTGTGTTGGCAGCAATGTAAAGTAGATGTTCTCTCCCATAGTATATACCCACATTGCTCATTAGGGTAGGAGGATATAAAAATGTTGCAAATGGCATCTAGTGTTCGACAAACATGGGTCTGCCTGTGTGTGCACCTTGTAGCTACATTTGTCACACAAGCGGGCAGCGAGCACACGACTATGCAACAGTTCCTCCTTCTCTGGGTGTGCACAACAATGAAACTGGGGACTGCTATATTGAGTAATGGTTTGAAAATTGTCCTGGGGAGGGAATAATCTCTGTGGTGCTAGGGGCAGTGGTATAAGTCAAGGTGTCTGGAGGTAAGAAACCCCAGTCGTACACCTGGCTGCTCTGGTCTATGGGCCCCCAGTACTACTCTGCCTTTATGACTAATTTACCTGTGAGTACCAGCCAGAGGGAGATGAGCAGGGGCATCCCCCAGCAGAACAGGTAGAAGAAGTAGACGGCCTTGGTGTGGAGTCTCTGCGGCTCGTGCACCACCAGGAGGTATATGTACACCGAGAGAGAGAGGGTCCACAGGATTGAGGCTATGGTTGAGAACCCCCCGAAGAAGGCCTGCGCCGTGCAGAGGTGGTGCACGTCGTCGCACCAGTGGTGGTTGCTGCTCTCGTGACACGTCCTGATGTACCTGTCAAAATCGACGACCACCCCGACAAAGTTGGCGCAGGCCACGCCAAAGTCGGCCAGGGAGAGGTGCACGAGGATCTCCCGCGACCTTGTCCTGATGCTGGCGATGCACACGTAGGAGAGGACTATAAGGAGAGCACCTATCATCGAGAGAAGGGACACGCTCGCCACCACCACTCGCAGCCAGACTTTCTTGTCCTCCAGAGGGTCGACGGTGCTGGCGTTGGTGGACCAGTTGTACGTCGGTGACTCGGACGAGACGGCGTCAGACGACCGTTCGTGGAGCTCGTGCAGCAGCAGTAGATGCAGGGACATGACTGAGATGGAGCTGCGCAGCACGTCCTAGTCTGTGGAGAGATTGGAGCAAGAGGACAGGCGGCCCGGTAGACTACTCACCAAAGGCCAATCCGGGAGATCTTCGGAGCTTGCTTGCGCTGTCCAGATCAGAGTGTCTTTTCGAGGGCGTGTCGCATGTTTATAACTCCAATTAACGCGCTCCCGGGAATTGGCTATGCCGCTGGTGAAGCTTCACTACAGCGTGGAGGGGGATACGACCGTCATAGCCACCCTCAGTGCAAACATCGGCAAGTTGGAGTTCATTTTGAGGGGGCTACCGGGACAACCAGACGGTACAGAACGAATAATGGCAGTAAAAGGTGCAGAACGAACCCTAATTCTAAACCCCCTCCCCAACACAGGGTTCAAAGTTCTAAGAGTGGAGAGAACAGATGGCAGTGAGATTACTGATCTGGACTCAAAACCACCAGAAACAGTTTATGTAGTGGGGGTGATGGAGAAGGAAAACTAACAGACTCTCCATCCCATCGCCACATTGTAGTTCATGATGCCAATACATTATTGTATAATGTAAACAGAAATATAAACAACTTCCGTTCGTTAGTTCATGCACATAGAAATACCAACGATTGTACAAGAGTTCCAGAGAGGGATTCTGGAAGCAGTTCAGCGTCTCCTCCGTGGTGAGCGAGAACGACTTCGAGATCTACAGCAATGCGTTGAAAGAAGTAGTATGTTGTCATTACAGTGGAACCTCTGAACAAGGGACAGTGTGGGGCCAACAATTTTGTCCCTTGCAGAGGGAGGGAAGCAGAGGACATAAGGGAAGGAGGAGATAGAGGAGGAAGGGGAGAGATATGTGCGATTGATTGATACGAAAGGAAGGAGGGAGGGAGGGAGGGAAAGGAGAGACCTGTGTGGACTGCGAGACCGACTGCGGGAGAACTTGCGGTGGTAGTTCTTGCGAGGGTACAGGTAGCGACTGAGGCAGGGACATCAACACACACACACCGGTGAGAGGGGGAAATAGGAAGGAACAGGAGCACTCACTAGAGGTCTCTGGAGATAGGCTTCAGGTGCATGAAGTTGCAGAACCCTCCCCTTGTGCATTCCCTATAACAAGGAAAGACGTTGGGATATGTTTACATACACGACTGCCAGACTGAACAAAGTATGCATATATACTGGCAGTCTTTTCCTTAGAGGTGTTGAATTGGAGACAGTGTTTGACTAATAGTTAAAAAAATCATGCAATTTGGACGACTAGGTTGGCTCACTTTGCTCGCCAATGATTATTATGCTAGAGCAAGAAAGTGTGTGCATTTGCATGTAACTAGCATGACCCCCTTCCCCCTAGAAGGCCTCTACTGATTGATTCAGAACGCTCAGTTCTGCCCCATAAAGCCTGAAAACAGGCCTCGTGCCACTGTAGACAGTGTGTGTGAGTGGCATACCCCATCTCATACTGCCGACAGCAGGCCTCCCTAAAGTCAGTGACGGGAGACAGCTCTGCGTGGATGGGCAGTCCGTTGTACCACCTGTTGTTGAGAGACACCACTGCCTTCTCCGCACTCTCCTCATCCTTGAACTGAGGTGGGAGACGGTCTACTTTCACAACACTGAATCTCTATATACCTTCCCGATAGCCATTTGAAGCACACGTGGCAGTTTAACATTGGCGTACAACACATACCTTGATGTAGACGTTCCCCACCAGATGATCCCCCAGATTATCACACACATTCATCTCCTCAATAGCTCCATACTACAGACGTGAACATGTGCAGCAGTTGGTTATAATAAGGTGCAGGACTCATAGCTAAAAGAGTTTTTACTGCAATTTAATTATAGCAGGGAACTAACCTTTTCGTTGCACTCCACAAAAACATCCTGAAAGGAGAGGGATAGTCTTCTACTTATCAATCAAGGCATGAATTATTACCTCAAAGAATGTATCGAATCGCCTCTGCTCTTCTTCTGTGGTCACTAGTGGGGCACAGTAAACAGAGGTGAGTTTGGGCTACAATCACGTGTTGGTGGGCAACTCACATGGTTGGACTCCTGGGTTCTGGGTCTGGTTATTGGGATTCTGGAACATGTTCTGGAGCAGAATGGTCTGTGTATGAGTGCATAAGGGAGGGAGGGAGGGAGGGAGGGAGGGAGTGTAAAAGTGTGCATAGCGTATACACAGCCACAGTCAGTAGCAAACCTGACTAAAGGTGGGCTTGTTGTGGAGTCGAGAGCAGCGGTCACCGTGTCTACACGCCCCAATCTTGAAGTAGAAAGAACAGTTGACCCTAGGTGTTTTGGTAGAGCGAGCGAGAGTTTGAAGGAGATGCGCACCAATTGGAGTAAACGGCGAGAAACTCACTTGTCCTTCTCCGTTCCAAAGATAGAGGCCAGGTATTCCGCCATTGTTTCACAAGCCTCTTAACTTGCTTCTCTCTTTCTCCCGACTTCCAGACACTCACCACACAGTCGCTCCCCACCACCGCGTCAGAAAAACGACCGCGCGTTCGTAAAACGTTTACGCGATTTATGCGCATGCGCAGCTATCAGCCCCGCCCAAAAAAAATATTGCAGAACAATTACAACACACCAGCCAGCCACAATAATACCTGTAACACTAAAACCGTATATATGCCATAATAGGGTGGTCTAACGTAGACTTTGGCCACTCTCTGTGAGAGAGGCAGGAGTGAATATCTCAGAGTTGTCGCCCAATGTTCCGTCATCCCTCATTTTATTGCAGGATGGGGCGTTCAAACTGGCCCCTCCCACCACTCTAGCTCCTCCACAATTACCACCACCCAGTAGTAGGGGCAGTTTGTCTCTGCTACAGCTAGTGCTGCTGCTTCCACGACAGCTTCTGCAGGGGTTAACTAGCACTGTCCTCCGAACCCTCTTGGTGAGTAGGACGTATAGGAATCCGTTAACGAGGCCTGATGATGAATCTCCAATTCCCTAAAAATTCGTTAGGGATTTGCAACTGACAAGTAAAAAGGTGATGGGTAATTATTGCATGTGGACAAACACTATATTATTGGCATTACATACACTGCTAACCGAGAGGTAAAAGACGAGGATTTTAATTTGAGGGGGCACTCCTTTCAACTGGATGTAGACCTCAAAGAGAATCTGCATGCAGGTCCACATTCGCAGGAGAGTAAACATGAGTGGGATGAGGAAAAACCAGTAATCAAGGATCGTCAGCGCCTCTCTAAATCTCTCCTCTCCGTCACGGAGATAGTGTTTGCTTTTCTTTAACTACAAGAGAGCAGTAACAGAGAGCAATATAGCTAACAGCAACACATACACTCCAGCACACGTACCACATCTCTGAGGTAGAGGTGAACAGCTAGGTAGAGCACAGGGACAAACGTCATGGAGAAATAGGCCCAGAGATCATAGCCAAACACGGCTGCGTACTGATTCAGACGACCAGTCATAGGATCACTGACGACCTGGCCGCAGTAGCTGTTGCCTCCATAGCCCAGCTTCCCCGAGAGGAGCAGCCACAGGCTCACACACAGGGCCAGACCGTAGCAGAGAAAGTAGGAGGCCTGGAGGGAGCGATGGGCATAGGAGGTCTGGTGGTGCATCAGTAGAAAGTAGAGGTAGACTGCGAGAACAGTCGTCCAGAGAACTGAGCCCAGCGTGAAGAAGTGGAGAAAGAAGGCCTGGCCCTCGCACAATGGCTGGATGTGGTCATGTTGTGGGGAGTGGTACACTGTGCAGGAGCCGTTGTAGGAGACGTAGTAGCGGTCGAAGGAGACGGCATTACCGACGAATTTAGTGAGGGCCGTGCCCAGATCCATGAGGGAGATGTGGACCAGGACGAGTCGGGCACGGTTCCGCAGGCTCTTGAAGAAGACGTAGCTGGCGATGATGAGCGTCGCCCCGAACATGGATAGGACGCAAGCGATCCCCACCAGAACTCTGAATGGGACGCCGCCCTCCCAACGCAGGGGTTGGCTATCCTGGTCTTCGCCGCACACTACTCTCTCCTCGCTCCAGGCCATCGTATGGGCAGCTACCTCCAGCTCTTTGGCTTTCCTGAGCTGCTGCTGCTGCTGTTTGCAAAGGCGTGACCAGCACGACGTCAAGCAGCATGCAATATCTGTGGCAAGCGCGTGTTGTCTGGCAGTGCAGTGGCAGTGTGGATGATTAGCATACAAGCGCTTGCGCTACATTGCGTGTGTGAATCGGTGTGTAATAGACTAGTATGTGGTGAAGTTCTCTCAACTTGACAGATGATCTTCCGTAAAAATGGTATATAGTCAGCTCAGCATCGGCCATTCAGTCAGTCCACTTACGTAGGTCTCAGCAGCAGTCAGTGACTGAAATAGTTGCACAAGTGAAGTTCGCTCAGCCCGACAGAGGATCTTTGATGAAAGTATGCTCAGCAGCCATTTTACACTCCACACAGCTCAAGCTTCATTCGTTCGTGACTGTGAAAAGAGAAAAAATGTAGGTAGTGCTTTTAAAACAGTAGTAATTCACCTTTCCTTTAGAGAAGGACGATCACCTTCAGAACCATCAGAGAGACTGTTTCAACAGTCCAGAGAAAACTGTTTCTTAATTAATGTTTGGAGGGCGGGTGGGAGGGTATGGTTTATGAGCCAGTCACTCACCCAGAGAGCCAGAGGTGAGCTGGCTGACTCAATGCGACAAGTTTGGTTGCCTGGCATGACCTGTGCAGACGAGTCCTAAGTCTTTGCTGTTGGCTGCACAGCCAAAACCCACGCGAAGGTATTGTCGCATATTTGGCCCCCTCCCGCCCGCCCAATCTTTCTCCCTTTCCACAGTCATGATTGGAGCGGAGTGGAGTACTGGCTGAATGGTAGCCTACAGAATGGCTGATGCTGAGCTAAATAAAGACCTTGCTATATAAAGATGATCTACTGTCAAACATCTCCGAATCCTCTGTCGAACTTCACCAGGGAACTTCACCTGATTCTCTGTTTAGGACTTCACCAGAGAAATTCACCAGCAAATCCTCTGTAGAGACAGCTCTTGTCGAAAACTTCCACCGGATCCTTTGTTGAGAACTTCACCAGCAGATCCTTTGTTGAGAACTTCACGTGTTCATCCATCTCACTCACTACTGCTGCTGAGACTAAAGCCGGTGGCTGGTGCTGAAGCTGACTGAAGATCCTCTTTTGAACTTCACCTGTAGCTGCAACCATCTCACTGACTACTGGAGCTGAGTGGACTTGGCCGAAGACTGCTGAGGATCATCTGACTGGATGCTCTGGCAGGAATCATGGACAGTAGATTGTCTCAAAACTCTGTACACAGTTGAACCTCCAAAGATGAATATAGGGCATCTCTCTATAAATTTTTGTACCATTACTTCTGAATAAGGGACACCTGAAAAAGAAAGTTGCCTGATCCTCTGACTGGATTCTGTGTGGACTTGGCTGAAGACTGCTGAGGATAATCTAACTATAGGTGTTGCCTGACTGTCATCTGAAATGGTTTAGCTCCTAGAAACATATATGGCAACTGTAATAATGTTTTTGTGCGTATCTTAGCGCTTGCGCTACGTTGATCTGTCGTGCTTTCCCGTTTTGATGGTATATACTTCAGCAACCATGAAACCTTATAAGCCAAAATTAGCTGTATATATGTCCCACTAGAAAAAAGTGCAAGTAGCTGTGTGGTGCCTGTATAAAAACAGTTTACACAGCCATTCATGACCCCAATACAGACCACGACCAGACCATTATATTTAGCGGTACCACGCGTGTGCAATGTGCCAAAGGTTTGTACTTTCAAGTAATTAGCTTATTACATGATTACGGCTTCCCATGAACTCATGAGAAGTAGTGAGTGGATCTGGAGTGATGACACCAGATCTAGAGTTGCTGGTCATGGAACGAGATGCAATGTGACACGACATCTTCTGAGGACTGTTAATGAGAGGGGCCCCTTCATTAGGCTGGGAATTGTTCTCCGAAGTAGTCGGCGTGTGGTCTGGTTTGTTTCTGACAGGACACCTGCATGACCTGCTACAGCAGATGAGCTGGAGAAATGAGTCACGGACTTGCTTCGTGAGCAGAACAAATAGAACTGCATTGACAAATCCCTGTCCAGAGTCACCCACTCCCTGCAGAACAATTTTATTGCAGTATAATCTGTATGGTAATTACATAGCTTGCTGCAGTGTGGATACTGTATGCTTTTACTACGGTAATCTAATATACTCACAGACAAGTAGACGAGAGCCTGGGGTATACGTCCAGGGTTGTCACTGTAGACATAGAGGTTTATGATGCAGGTCCACATCCGCAGGAGGAAGAAGGCAATAGGAATGGAGAGAAACTTGTACTCGAGGACATTGACCGCCTTCCAGAACTGCTTCTTTGGTACATAGTTCTTTGTTCTTTCAAGCTGTTCAGAGACACACAACGTTATTAGGCAGTGGATAACAATGGGTACATTACAAACATGGATATCATCACTACTGCACTTATTGTAGCCCAGAGTATCAATGCTCCACATGCAGACTGTGTCACATGCTGTTTGAGGTTTAGGTTAGCATAGTACAGTATTGTACAATGTGTAGCTATACACAGGTGAATAAGATTACCTCTTCTCGGAGGAATGCTCTAATGGCAAAGTAGAGAACAGACACCAGAACCAGAGCCAGGTAGATCCACATATCATAACCAATGATCCCCATAAATATATCCCTCTGATGAGGGTATACGGGGTTAACAAGTATTACACTGCACCAGCCAGCAGAGTTGTATGGAGAGTAGCCCAGTTTGTAAGTCAGCATTGCCCACAGTGTGAGCAAGAGAGGCATGCCGTAGCAGAAAAAGTAGGCAAACATGAGGAATAGCCTGGCTTTGGAGGTCCCGTGGTGCACCAGGAGAAAGTAGAGATAGACTGCCAGCGACACTGTCCACAGTATCGAGCTGAGAGTAAAGTATAGGGCGAAGAATGCCTGGACGTTGCACAGGATTGTGATTCGATGCTGAGGAGGAACTATGTTGTACACTTTTCCTTCGTCGTCGCACTGGACGTCGTAGAATCTGTCAAAGTAGACGACGATTCCCACCAGATTGGCGGCTGCGACGCCAGAGTCGGCCACGGAGAGGTGGACAAGTATCTCCCGCACCTTGGTCCGCAGCCTCTTGAAGCACATGTAGGAGAGGATTATGAGGACGGAGCCCACGAGTGACGCCGCGCAGCTCGCCCCGGACACCCCGCGAACGTAATTGCTCTTCTGGTAAATGGAGTCAGAGCTGCAGTTGTTGTCCCTCATCTCCATACTGCCTTGGGGTTGTCAAAAAGCAGCACACGCCCAGCAGATCAGAAATCACAGTAAATTGTACGCATGCGCAAACAGTGCATAGGCGCGAGCTGCTAATCACATTTTTGCTGCCCAGGGTGGCGTGGGAATTAATGTTATTTTAATGCAGATTCACTGCAGACCAGTCTCTGGAATGCATCAACATTTTTGCGTGTGTATAAGAATGTGCAGCTAAGATTTATGGAGCATGAGCTACAAGATAATGCTGGATGTATCTCTTGCACATTTTAAAAGAGGCTACGATTGGTTCCATTCCACGGTCTTCCTCAGTGTTGGCCAGGGTCTCCTTAGTGTCAGGTCCCCAGTTCTGGAGCCTGGCCCCCCAGTAGTGGTTCATTCTCAGTTCACTCCTTGGGGCAGTCTTTGACTCCCCCCTGCCCATGTTGTTATGGTGCACTATCGCTTTTCTAACGTCTGCCGTTCTGTAGATTGGCTTCACCAGGTTGTTTGCTGGGCTGTGTGTGCGTCTCCACAGTTTGTCAAAGAGGAGCTCCCCTCGAATTGTTCTTCTGTCCAAGATAGAGAAAATTTTCCATCGTGATTTCAGACACGGCTGGGTGTTTCTCCTTGAATTTCTTGATGTAGCGAGCTAGGAACCCGGGCTCTGTGTCGCTCAGAGCAAATGGGTACTCATCTATGTCGATGGCCACCTGCCATCTTGTGTCCTTCCCAAAATTGTCAATGCAGTGTTGGTAGTTGGAGTGCTGAGAGCGTTCCAATTCAAAAGGGTGCGTCTCGTGCCGGTCGAAATAGGTGACAAAGCCTTCCCTGACAAACACCTCCAGCTGCTCCTTCTGCGACTCTCCAGGCAGGGTCCACAGGTCGTACACATATACATGCTCAACTCCAGCGTAGCGGATGTAAAACAGCCAGTTTTTCATATCCAGTGAAGTCAGCTCAGACAGATCCTTCTCGTAAATTCTCACAATCAACACAGCAGTCAGAAAGTAAGGTGGGCCCTGTACTTTCAAATCTACCCACGTACACGAGGCGTTGGCTCCACCGTCAGAAGTTGTCAGTCTGTCAGTCTGTGCGGCTGACTTGGCTGTCGGTCTCTCAGAAACAGAAAAGCTGTTGTTGGGTGAGCTGCCATCTCTAGCACTCAACTGGATGGGTCTACTGGCATCGCCCCCGCGATTTTCGGCACCCAGCGTTCCCTCTGGGAGGAGCCAGGGCGGGAGATCGTCAGATCGCCTGGCCACCAGAGTGGCCCTCAACTCCATGTCAAAGAAAAACATGGTTAGCATGGCGTAGATTCCAGCTGCAACCAGGACACTGCTAGCGACTGGGACTGCACATCTCCCGCTGGCCGTTCTGCCACACATCGGATTTGCGTAGTAGTAGTAGCTCGCGCTCATTCAAAGGGGATGGAGGGGGCTTGTTCATTAGCTAAGCATTGCCGGCCGTCTGAGCTTTATCCTCCACTGCACGCCTGGAAATATTATGTAGGCAAAACACGGGAAGGAGCTCCGTGCACGCCGCGTGTACAGTCGCTCGTTCGTTTTGCAATTTGACGATGAGCATGTGCAAAGGGGGTGGGGCTAGATGCACACTAGCTAGCTGAGCTACAGAGGTGTTTTTGGGAGCATGACCGACGAGGCAGGCTTTATCCTCGCTCTAAAGGTGGTATCGGGGATAACGTGCCTACTGTCGATCCTGGGAGCGGGACTGATCATCGCCACCTATGTCGCATTCCGAGACCTGCGGACGGTGGCCCGGCAGCAGTTGGTGAACCTCTCCCTGGCCGACATGACCGTAGCCGCATCCCACTTTGTCGGTCTGGCTGCGTTGCAGGTGGAAAACTACGAAACCCCGCACAATAGCGACGGAAATGGTAGCGGCAACGCTTTCAACTACTCTACTGCGGAGCAAGACACCCTGTGCAAAGTGCAGGGAGGATTCACGATGTTGGGGACGCTCGCGTCGTTTCTCTGGACGCTGGCGCTGGGTTTCTATATGCTAATGGTCATAGTGCTAAAGCGAACGGACGTCGCGCGCTACCTGTTGTTCTTCTACTATCCCATCTGCTGGGGTGTACCGTTGACACTGACGCTATGGTTTGGACTGGTGAAACCGACATACTTGGGGTTTGGCGAAGGAGCAGATATAGGTCTGTGAATAATGCAGTCCATGCATACGTCAATACCCATTTCTACTGTCGTGCAGGGTGGTGCTATATTAGAGTTGTTCAAAAATCGAATGGCAATGTCGATCATTCCACAACGGTTTTAGCAGAAGTTCTGGGGTATGAGCTGTGGTTCTATGTGACCTTTGTTTCCCTAGCAGCCATCTACATCACTATGCTATTCTACCTCAAATATAAGGTAGGCACAGATCACTCGGGCGGGCTAGCAATAGCTAACTATAGAGTTGCAAAGCATTATATGACACACCTGCAGTGTAAGACAGCAGAGGGTTTGGCAAACATTTTCAAAAAATTTTGGGAGTTGTAAAGCTTTCCTGCTTTAAAAAATATTTGGGAGTTTTAAAGCTTTCATGCTTTCAAAAATATTTGGGAGTTTTAAAGCTTTCATGCACGAATAGCTCTCTAAATTCTTCTTTTAAAAACTCAGGGTATGAAGATTAAAAAGCACTGGAAATATACTGATCTGAAACTGGTACTTGTTCCCCTCATCTTTATTCTGCTTCGAATGTGGAGTGGTATTATCGACATACTTCACTATGCAACACTGGGTGACAAAAGCCCTCGTAATCTGGATGACACTGGTGGATTTTATGCACTAGTGCTACTAGCAGTAAGTCAGTTCCTTACAGTAGTATATACATATAAACCCATCAATAAAGCCTACACACACATGTGACCTCCCCCAACATGGAACTCTCAGTACACAGTGTGTTATGATTACCTCCCAAACAGGGTGTTGGAGACTCAGCACAAGGGCTCGCCAACGCCGTGCTGTTCTGTGCCTTCACCAGGCAGGTTCGCAACAGGTTACTGGAAACAGCCCGTTCCCATCTCTGCTGCTTCTGTCCCGACTCCTACCTCCGACTTAGGACCAGTGAGAGGTTCTCCGACATGGTTGTTCACGAAGCCACGACTCAGCTGGATGGAGACAGTGTGTGCGAAGAGACTGTAAGGCAACACACAGATGGATACTGGGAGACCTCTTTGATTTTGGACAACATCCCAGAAAAATATGGGACATAGTCTCTGATGTAGAATAAGTAGATTAATTGCGCATGCGCGATAACCCCTTGAAGGCGGGGCTTGTAATGCAACAAAACGTGCCCCACCCCTCTGAGGCTGAGGATCGAGGAGAGTGTGTGAGGACGGCAGGCGAAGGATGGACCCGTTTTTTCTCTCCATAAGGATAGTGGTCGGAACTACGTGTGTCGTGTCGGTCTGCGGCGCGTGTCTGATCATTCTCACCTTCTTGGCGTTCAAGGACCTGCGGACGCTGGCGAGACAGCAGCTCGTGAACCTGTCAGTCGCCGACATCTTGGTGGCCGGCTCTCACCTCCTCGGCCTCGCAGCTCTGAGAGTAGAGAACTACGACCCATGGACTGACATGGACGAAGGGAGCAATCACACGAACGACACCCCCGCCGGTAACTCGACGATGTTGTGCCAAGTACAGGCCTCATTCACCATGTTTGGAACGATCGCGTCTTTCCTCTGGTCGCTTGCCCTTGGATTCTACATGCTGATGATCATTGTGCTGAGAAGACCGGATATTGCCCGCTATCTCCTGGTCCTCTACTACCCCGTGTGCTGGTTGATACCGCTCGCATTGACTCTATGGTTTGCACTGGCGAATCCAACCTACTTAGGATATTCAAAGTCAGATATTGGTGGGTCATCGTACATGGCAATAATCTTATGTTGGTAACGACTAATTATAACCTGTTTTCTTTCAGGATGGTGTTATGGCAGGCGCATTCCCGATGACGACACTAAAAGCATTCTCGGGTATCTGCTGGGGTACGGGCTGTGGTTTGCCATAACTATAGTAGCTTTGGTTGTGATCTACTCCACAATGCTCTGCTACTTAAAATTTAGGGTCGGTATGTTAATTGATGACGTCCTTGCTCAAGATTTGAGTGATTTTCCCCCCAACAGAACACCAGGAGAGCAGCAGAACAAGAGAAGCACTGACTTCAAACTCGTCCTCATTCCCCTCATCTTCTTTCTGCTGCGCTTCTGGAGTGTTGTTCTTGACATTGACACCTTTCGTCTTGCTCCACATCACTATAATAAAAATGGAACTCGTGCACTGATACTGTTGGCCGTACGTTAGCTACATGTGTGTACATTTTTACCGCTTTCATTGTAGCATTTGTTTATTTGTTTGCCAAACAGGGCATTGGAGATTCCGCACAGGGACTAGCCAATGCTGTCCTGTTTTGTGCCTTCACCAAACAGGTCCGGGAGAAACTCAAGAGGTCTCTCCTCTCCTGTCTCTGCTGCTACTGTCCCAGTGTCTACTCTCGTTTGCGTCAGAGATGGCCGAGCAGCTCTGTTACGAGTTCAGGTCTGGGAGTAAGTCACGAGACTACGACGCAGCTGGAGAGCGAGAGCACACGCAGCATGGCTGCTGAGTCGTACCAAGGAGACCAGATGCCCACGACCAGTGACCTAGTGTCAGAGACGGAAAGGACTAATCTTTTGAGATGATCCTGCAATGATGATCCTTTTGAGGATCCTTTTGAGGGTAGTGAGTATGGAACATTGACATAATAGAACACTTACTAAAAACTCTACATGAATTATAGTAGCTGTTAATGTGTGAACCTGTGACAAACCTTTTTATACCAAGTGTGTGTGAATTTTTTTATGTATCAGTTTCTTTTTCAGTCAGGGGTTTAACGCAGCCATACTGTTATGGAATTTCCTCAGGTGATTCCATGGACAAGGGTAAACTATGGCTCTTCTACACTTGTGGTATAGCTGGAATTGAAGTATCACGTTCTGTAGGTGATATAGTCTTCTATAGATGACACCCTGAACAATAAACAAATATATACACAAACAGAGGTATATATAATATACACAGTCAATCTCCAGATGGAGTAGTTCCATAGCTGGAGAAGGAAGACTGAAACTTGAGGACCTGAATCCCTTCTAGACTGTCACTCTCTGTCAGAGACGAGCCCTCTCCAAAGTCTCTGTGCTCTCCCCCTCTCCCTCCCACTGCCCCTGGGTGATTGATGCTAATGCTGCTCGTCATCTGGTCAGTTTCTCTCAGTCCCGTCCACTGCTCCCTGCGACAGTTCCTGCAGCAACCACCTCTCACCATTTCCACCAGCCTTCTTCTGACCACTCTGGTGAACCCGATGAAGAGAACGGCATTCACAATCCCCTGTGCTGAGTCACCAATTCCTTGTGGGTTGGAAGTATGTAGCTACATGTGTATATACTGTATAAATGACATAAGCCCTTCTGTGTGTTTGAATGTTGTTGTCTTACAACCATTAAGATGAGAGAAGCAGCAGCAGTGGACTCTTTGAATTTCTCCTCCTCTGAGAGAATAAAGCAGTCCAGAATGAAATTCCACACTCTGAGTAGCAGGAACAGGATGGGGACAAACAGCAGCTTAACGTCCATGAAAATTCGTGAGTTCCTTATCTGTAGGGCAGCAGTGAATATCGTAAAGCATTAATATGTAGAATATCATTATGGGTGGGACTTGCCTTGATTTTGATGTAGCATTGTGCCATACATAGATGATGGGAAGGAGTATGAAGATAATTTGTGTGCACAGCTCGTAAGCCAGAAGGTGAGGGATTGGGTTGCGGTTATTTTCACCAACATAGTCTATTCGCCTCAAGTAACACCAACCTATTAATGGAAAACAAGTTCCCTTCCGATGCTCGTGAGCCTATGTTACTTTACTTGCAAGGCACGTACCGATATCCACTCCTTCGTCGAATCCGAGATAACCTGCAGAGCCGTAGCCAACCGCTGGTACCCCCCAGCAAACCGCGTATGACAACCCGACGGACCAGGTCGTTGCTCTGTGCTTCAAGACTACTATGGACCACATGTATACTGCAATAGCCAGCGTCCAGGCGAAGGCTGCCAACGTCCCGAACATTGTCGCTGCTGCTTGCACCGAGCATAAGATGTCGTCCTCGCCGTTCCCCTCGCTACAGATGAAACGCTGCCTCGTAGTTGGCGAGTTACCCGAGAAGGTGCGAGGCGGCGAGGATGCTGTCTGCCACGGAGAGATTGGCCAGAAAGTGCCTGGCTGTGGTGCGCAGGTCTTTGAAGTAGGTGAAGGTGAAGAAGATGAGGGCCGATCCTGCGACGGAGAGGACGCACACGGTTCCCACCGTCACCTGCAGCGAGAGAATGAAGGCCGGGGTGCGGGACGGGATAGACCGGGAGCAGTTGGATACATTGGTCCTGATCCAGGATGCATTGCTACTCCAAGAAGCCCAATCGAAAGGCTGTAACTCAGACCAACTCATGTGTTTAGCCGACTGCACGTCTTTATGCAGAGCTAGAGCTAGAGCTAGAGAGCTAGCTAGAGTCGAGTAGCCCAGCCGCCCTCTCTCGAAAGCCTATTGCGCATGCGCTGGTGTACATACACACGACGGGCGTGGCTTTTCAGGCGCGCACACACTAATAACGTACACAAACACACGTCCCACCACACCAACTCTGTGGAGCGGTAGTTAGTATTGCACCGTCAGTGCAGTTGCAGTGTGCAGGCTCTATCTACAGGTATAGAACTCTCGGAGATGTCCAGGTTGGCGTTGGACGGTGACGCGGACGAACACGAGTTCGAGGACAAAACCAAGATTCTGAGAGCAGTCGTGGGGCTCACGTCAGTCCTGTCCATCGTGGGCTCACTCCTCATCGTCCTCTCCTACGTCTGCTTCAGAGACCTCCGGAACAAGGCCCGGGAGATCCTCGTGCACATCTCTATCATGGACTTTGGCGTTGCGGTCAGCAATTTGGCCGGCGTCGGCATCAACTTCAACAACTACTACAGGGAGAGCTGTAACCGCACAGAGCACCGTCATCATCCCGAGCACCACGGGTACGAGGAGACAGGTGGGGATGACCTCTGCCACGTTACCAACGCCATCAGCGCCCTCTGCGTGGTGCAGGGTGGTTTTGCATCTTTCTTCACCATTGGCTCTATCCTGTGGACCATCTGTCTCTCTATGTACCTCTACCTCCTCATCAGTCAGAAGGACAATAGGAGGGCCAAACTGTTTGTCAATTTCGCCTACGTCTTCTGCTATCTCATGCCCCTTGGACTGATAGTGTGGATGGGTGCAACAAAGAAGATTGGCTATACGCCATATGAGAGTAGTGGTTGGTGCGGCACCATCTTCATACGGGCCAACAGAAGACGGGACATATTTGCAGCCACCGTCGGCTACAACTTGTGGATATTCCTCACGTTTGTACTGGTCCCAGTACTCTCCATCTCTGCCCATTTGCACATCAAGGACGAGGTTAGTGGGTATGGTTAGCAATGCCTGGGATAATCCACAAGATGGCTAGTGTGCATGATGCATGCCTGGGACGTGTACATTATTTTGTGTGCTAGAGTGTCGGCTGATTATACGAAAATGTTTCACTCCCAAATATTTTCAGCTATTGCTATCATGAACATAATTATGTCTCAAACTGTTGGCTCTTAACTCTACCGCAGGTGAAAAACACGATCCATTCCAGTCGATTCCTGTCGGCACTCCAGGTGGTGGACTTCAAGTTCCTCCTGGTTCCCGTCGTCTTCATTCTCCTACGATTCTGGTCCTTCTTTGGGGACATGTGGTTTGTATACACCAACCATCATAAACTGGAGCCACCTGTCCTGGCCAGGATATTCATGTACCTAGAGGTACGTACACGATAGCCAACATGATTGAAGGATCTACTGGAATTTACAACAACATTATTTAATGTTCCGTGACTTATGTCTGCAGATGCTTTATAATCATGCCTCATATAATTTGGTATGATGTTAAAACTGAAGACTGTAAAGGAAATGTTCTGACAGCCTGTAGATCGCCTAAGAGCCACAGTAACAATGCCTTTAGACAACCAACGACCCTCACTTTAGGAGCATGTGTCAACAAGGCACACCCCCAAGTTGTCAACGAGGCACACCCCCAAGTGAGAGTGATGGGTGCTAGAACTTGTGGCATGACTATAATTGGCACATGAAGGCTTCAAACAGCACTGCCAAGTCATCCTTATATGGAAAGCTGACTTTTAGGACCTGAATTGTGCTTTGTTTAGGTTACTTCCACTGGGGAGTCGTACTGATTCAGAGATTTGTTTGTCTCCAACAGGGGATTGGTGACAGCGGCCAGGGCGTTGCCAATGGGATTCTGTTTGTTCTGTTCACCAAGAAGGCCCGGGAGAGGTTCATCTGCTGCTGGAGGCACTGCAGGAGGAGAAAATTAGGGGATACCCCTGGGGAAACGACGAATCTGATGGACGCCAACCGACGGCAGAGGATCAACTCGGCCAGCTACCTGGACAACACATACACTCCCTCCTTCTCACCTCGAACCAGCCCCAGTCACTGACACTTTTATGCTCAGTTTTCAAAACTTCATGGTTTTTCATTCTTGCTCTTGATGTATATTATAATTATTTGTATGATGACTGAGAGTAAGATCAAAGGAATTCCAGCTAGTCCGTACCGCGTAGTGAGCGCTTCCTGCTGGTAGCCATACGATTTCCCCATACTTTAGCTGTATGTCAACTTATTTGCATAAACCACAGTGGGTATTATGGTAGTTATACGATAGTACGAAATTGGCAGCGTGTAATGCAATGGGGCCTTTTACACTCTTTGTGTGCTGCTGTTTCTTTACCAGAAGGGAGTGTTTTTTCAGGCCAGAAACTGCTCTAGTATATACGCGGTCTGAAAACTAGCGAAAGCTGCTTCCCGACGCGTAGGCTCCCGTAGACCGGAACAGTATGTGATTTTCAGCTTTCTTGCTACTGCAACAGGCTGCATTCAAGAGTGCTGGGTATAGCGGGAGAGAAAGCGAGCCTGAGCGGAACGTACCTGTAACGTTGAACTCTCGAGAAATGACCATGGCTTCTGCACAACCGCCCAGCTTGACCAAACTAAAGCGCTTATTGCAGCTGTCTCGATAGCTACACTCGAGGGTGTGCGTTAAAAAGAGGGCGTTTTGAAAGCTTTTGCACAATCTCATTGGTCAGAGCCTTACCGCCAGATGTCACGTTATATATACGATGGCGTTGCACACTCGTGGCTTCAGTTTTGATAGACCACTCGGGCTACGTCCTCGTGCACTATCAAAACTGGCCACTCGCGTAAAACCAGTAAACCACGCGCCGCCATCGTATAACCTATACATATACACCTGCGAGGCAGGCTTTTTTGCAGGGAAGGGAGGGGGGGAGGGGGAGGGGGAATCACCAACCCAGACTTTTGGTCAGGTTTTGATTACTGCAGTTAGCCATATAAGTTACACCCAAGGGGACAAGCGCACACAATGGGCCGTGCTGTTGTTGCAAGAGGGGGTGGAGCTACCAGCTATGCACTTTGGACCCTTTTACGCGCGTTCGGTCGTCATGTCGAGAATCGAGTCGAGGCTGAGAGAAAGGGACGATGCGAGGAAGGCTGCCGTGGCGGCCAGGCGGCTGGAGAAGGAGAAGGAGAGCAGGGTGGAAGAGACGTCCGAGTTCTTTTCCCAGCAGTTCTCCTCCCAGGTCAAAGGTATGCATGAAAGGGTGGGCGGAGCCACGTTCATATACCGTACTTAGTGGTATTCTGTATACAGCCATTGAGGATCTCCTAGAAGCAGCCAAGACTGTTCCAGAGACTGAGCTGCCGGGCCATTTCAACTCCCTCTCAGACAACTTCCACCAGCTCCACAGACTGGTGGCTGATGCCACTCTCTTCCTGGCCGGCTTTGAAATCAAGACTGCACAAGAGGTTCACACTTTCTCTCTCACTCTCCTACTGAGCCCGAAATGGTAGCTATGGGTAATTGTGCCCCTCCTCCAACACAGCATATGTCTCAACTCTACACTCAGTTTACTTCAGTGCAAGAGCAGCTGCTGCCAAAGAAAAGGTTTTCGTTCAAGGCCCGACCAAAAAAAACCGGTGCGGCACCCAAGCAGACAGTGAACCCCAGTCTTTCCCAGGCCAGAGACACCGGGAGGTCACCACCGGCTTTGGCGGACCCGGACCCAGACCCGAATCAGGCACGGTTCACTGGCAGGGAAAAGGAACTCATAGCACCAACTGTAAGTTCCGTTTTACTGCTGTTCAAGTTCAATAGCTGGGGCAACTTAGGAGATTAAACAAACTAGAGTTATTCATTAGCTGATTTGTGTGACAGTGTATAATGCTACGGATGTTGCTGTGTAGAGTGGTGAGATTCAGTTGCGTGATGTGAACCTCGCTGACCTGAGAGAGTGTGAGGTGAGACTACTGGGAGCCCCTGTCACTCTACACATCAACAACCTTGACAACTGCTGGTAGAGTATTATACAGTCGTACCTCACTACCCCAGTCTAGAGTTTATCTCTGTATTAAAGGGATTGTGACTAAGGGGTGTTACTGTAGATGGCAATTGGGCCCAGTGAACCGTTTTTAGTAATTAGCCTACTGTCACGTTTCCTTTTCATTCAGTGTCCTGTGTGGACCTGTATCAAGCTCTGTGTTTGTGGACAACTGCAGAAACTGCACCTTCGTAGTGGCCTGTCAGCAGGTATACCGTCTTCCTATATACTTGTTTTGACAGAAGTGTATCAACTCTAGCTGAGAGTTCACACCACAGTGGGATCAGTGTTCTACCTCCACGTCACCAGCAAGGCTATCATTGAAGACAGCAGACAGCTGCAATTTGCACCCTACAACCTCACCTACCCCCAGCTGCAGGCACAGTTTCAGGTGAAATACCTACAGTGAAACCAATGTGCCTTATTCCACGTAATTCTGCTGTATGTTCGCACTGTTTGGTTTTCAAATACTAGTGCATGAAGTAGGTTTAAATTGATCTGTCTTCTCAAGTTTCTCAAATGCATTATTCTCTAGCCATTTACCACAAGTTTTCTGATGCTGTGTTTTGTGCAGGAGTCAGGTCTGAATGAGACGGTCAATAACTGGGACCAGGTTGACGACTTCAACTGGCTGGTCTCGGGCACTCCCTCCCCCAACTGGTCCCTCCTGCCTCCTGAACAGAGAAGGCCGTCCTGGGATCTGCCCACGACCAATACCACCACCTCTTAGTATGTCCTGCATCATTTTGCTGGTTATACTCTCTACGTACCACTTGTAGTCATAGTTTATAATCCGTTGCTTGTCTGTGTTGTGCAAGAGGGGATATTTTACAATGAGCTAGTGGCATGAGCACATGCTGCTATTCGTATATTATACAAAATCTCATCATTGTCTCTACAAAGTGACCTGATATAATAATTAAATGACATGAGAAAGTGAAAACAAAGTAGTTCTTATGAGCGAGTGGCCTTTAGTTATGGGTATATACATTTTTCAAAGTTATACAGAGTCATGAGGTAAGGTCTTGTGCAGATGAGTGGATCTGATCTTGCCATGTCTGGAGAACATAGTCCTTGAATGGGTGGCCGACTTGTACAATCCACTGCTCCTGCTCTGGAGTGAACGGAGGGTAGAGGAAGTACTCAGGAGAGGTGCAGCGACTGGCTGCATACTCTGTCCACATTCTCTCAGCAGTAGAGGGACCAGGAGGAGGAGGAGGAGGAGGTGAGGGTGGCTTGTCGTCTCCCAGGGACAGATTGAGTGGAGCTGGTCTCCAGCCACGAGATGAAGGAGGAGTCAGTTGTACTGGTGGTAGTTTGGAGTCCCTCGAGGCAGACTCAGGCTGAGCAAGAGCAAGAGGGGGCAGGGCAGCATCGAGCTCTGTGATAACAGGGGGCCTCCCCTGGCTCGTTGACGATTGGAACAGATGGGTTCTGTTGTAGATCTGGATAACTTGTTGCCGCTGATCCACTGTAGAAGATTGGTTCCGTAGCAGGAAGAATGGGATTCTGTCCCCTCAGTGGATTAGCTGAGGTGATATGTGGGCAAAGGTTTGCAACTGGTAGCACTTGAGTAAAGTATGCACCGTCTAGTGGTTCACTCAGGGAGAAGGAGAAGTAGTGGATGTAGTGTCCAACTGGTCCACTGGGTGGTTCAGCCGGAAAAGCACCCATGTGATGACTAATAGTTGGCTCGCAGTCTTGTTGAGTGGAGAAAGCCAAGTGTGAACCACTGTGTTGAAGTCCATAGTTCACGTAGAGCCCAGCATCATCGTGACCCACACATTCGCTCGTCAACTCTCTCTCTGTTGAAAACCCCTGGGTGGGTAGTTGAGCCTGTGAAGGAGGAGGTGGAGAAAGAGGAGGAGGTACGAAGGGTTGTGCGTCTTTGTCGCCAAAAATGGCTGTCAATTCCTCCTCCGAGGAGGTCCTGGACAGTGCCGGTCCATCTCGTAGTTGCACTGCTGGACGGCTGACTCCAGCATGTCCTCCCAGCACTGGAGGATATCGTCCTGGGAGGGATAGTAGGTATGCAGTTGGTGTTGGAAGACATTATGGTGGAATTCACAGCTCACATGGTCTGTCTCATCCTCCTCCAGGGTGACTACACCTCCAAAACTGGTGGTCTTTTCAACGAAAATGGCTGGACCCACTCCTTCCTCTGTCTCTGTCTCTTCATCATCATCATCACTGCTGTCATCGTCTTCATCTGTGTCTAAAGGAAGACATGATGACAAGTGTGAATCATTGTGTATATAGAGGTAGACCCACACCTTTAGTTTCCCAGCTCTCTCCATCGTCCACCTCATCATCCTCACTGTTGTTATCTTCCTCATCTCCACTGTAGTCTTGGAACACGTCTGACATATATACAGACTCATCATCTTCTCCTGAACTGTAGCTGTTGCAGGAGATGAGAGAGGGAGATGTCGTTGGGGGAGGGGGTGAGGTTGTGGAGGAGGGAGTGTGTGATGGGAGGGTGAGGCTGGGAACACTGAGGGGTGACTCAGCTCTGGACACTTGTGCCAGTGAACTACTGTAGAAAGAAACATTTGGTCTCAAAATGTGTCAAAGAGAGGTAGTTTGACTCTCACCCTCCCACTTCAGTAGCATCGTCACAGCGAGCAGGTTCTGCTCTCTGCTGCCTCCGCTCTGAAGGTAATTTTCTTTAATTGTTAGCAAATTCGAAAGAGGAAAGTGAACTCACTGAGTATCATCCTCATCCTTAGTAAGGATGGGATGCGTCGGCCCAAAGCTGTCATCTTTCCTCTCGCCGCTGCACGCTTTTTGCGTATCCGACGCAAAATTCCCTTCTTGAGAGAAGCAATGTTGAGTTTTATGTGATTCATCGTTGTAAAACACCGCACAAAGTCGCAAAGAAACTTAGCGCACGTCGCGTCGGACGCGAATGTATGCGCATGCGCGTGAGCTTTTGAACGAGTGTGCGCGTGCGCGCGTAAACCAACGCTCTGCTGCGCTCTTTTGTGGTCGAGATTTCGTCCTCAGTAAGCCGACATGCTACTGAACCCTGAGGTAAACGCGGCTTGCGTGTGTGTGTGTGTGAGTACCCAGCTGATTTCTCCACTGCCGTGTTACAGGCAGAGCGGACACTGGTGTGTGTTGAGAGGTGGCTAGCTGTTTTTCTGTATGTTTCGTCTGTTTAGGATGGATTCCCATTCAATCGCAGAAAGATGGACCTGCCTACGTGCTAAGAATTAGCTACAACTAACCACGAAGATCCTGTATATACCTAGGTTTGTAGTCTCACAGATTTTGCATGGGTGGGGAGAAAATACCTCCCCACTCACTCGAAATATCGTAATGTGGCTCGTGAGGCTTGGGAGTTAAAAACAGAAAGCATTGTATTCCCTGACTCAAATTCCCTTGTCCACTACAATTTACAGTCATCCTTTACTTCATATAAGTAACAGTTTCCTACCCCCAGCCCTGTTCCCTTATAGCATACTGTGTATTGGACAACCAATAACCTGCTGTTCTTTCGTGACCAACGTATAGTAAACCATGAAGAAATAACCTCTGTATTTATGGTACCTATGAGTTGTATCACGTTGCTTAGTAGTGTTCATGTTGGGATGCTGTAAGAAGACATTGTTGTGACAATAGCTGTCACCATCAGCCTGGCTACTGTCACCAAGGACTGCATTGGGTCCCTACTTCTGCTGCCGTCACCCTAACTGCATGACAAATTAGAACTAAGGAGTCTTGATAATTAATGGTATGATGGTTATTAGCTATGTATATTATTGTGTACGGCAACCTCGGTGAAAAAATTGTGATTTGATTGGGCAGTCTTGGTTTATAGGCCTTGATAGACATGAAAGTCTGTGGCTCTTTGCAAAGCATGTGTTGTAGCATGTGTTGTAGTTGTTCACATTGCTGGTGAAGGTTTCCTGGTGTCGGGTGTATGGGTTTCATCATCCTGTCCAGATCTGGTCCAGGAAAAAACTTGCTTGGGCTAAATGTTGTTTGTAGCTATGCGCAACCATTCTCTGAAAACTATATATATTATACTCATCCGCACCCATTCCTGTACACTGAGCGCGCATTTAGGGAAATTCCGCGGGGTTTCCCCGTTGTAGATAGCTGGGCGTCGACGATGTGGCTGGAGCCTGGTGTCGTCTCTCTGAGCGTGTTAGGATCTTTCTTTATCTGGACAAACCTTCATCTACTGCTCCGTCTACTCGGCGTGGCTAGTCGCTGGGGCTGGCTGCTCAACTCCAAGTCGGCCTACACCGCCGTCGTCCTGTGTCACGCCTACCTGTACTACACCCGCCCTCTTTCGGAAAGTCACGCCGACGTCTACACGGACCTGCTGGTATGGTCGGCCGGGTTCCACCTGTACCACACGACCCAGATCGATCTCCGCAGCGTAATTCTCCACCACATCTCCACCTCCACCGTCCTGTCGTACATCCTCTGCACTGGAGGAGTGGACACACCGGTCGGCGATCTCACCGTCTTCATATTGGGCGGCAGCGTCCTGACCGAGCCGATCATATACTTGCGGCGCGCCCTTAGGCGCATGAGAATTTACTCCGGCAATGTGCAAAAAGGTGTTGGCTGGATCTTTGCCGTCTCCTTCAGCGTCGTGAGGACGGCGTGGTGCGTGCGAATAGTGAACTATTTCTTCTCCCCTGGGCTGGACTTGTTCATTGCGGGGATATTGATAGTTATTTTTGTATTGAGTGCATACTTCAGCTGCCGACTCATGAAAATGGCTCGGGATGTTCTGTTGTAAAGAGTCGCACCCGCAAAAGCTTGATTGAGCATGCGCAGTCGTGAAAACATGGCGAATTTCGCGTCGCCAGCCATTTTAGGTTCCTTTCTGCTGTGGACAAACCTCTACTTGCTTCTCTGGGCATTTCTCCGTCACCTGCGCCAGTCTGAGGCGACTGCCGAGTCCGCGTGTAGGGCGGTTACCGTCCTGCACGCCCTCCTGCTCTCCGGACTCGGCCTCGCGTCCATGTTCTTCTTTGGCCCCTGGCCGTTCGACGCGAACAATCTAGCCAAGCCCAACACACAGCTACACACGGACACGATCGTCCTCTCCCTGGGTTACTTCCTCTTCGACTTTTCATGGTGCGTGTTGACCAAGACTGAGGGTCTCGTCATGCTGCTGCACCACGCCGTCTCCATCTTCGGCTTCGGCTACGTTCTCCGCTCGGGCCGCTACGGCTGCGAGGCCACGGGTGTCCTGGGAGTCAGTGAGCTAACCAACCCCCTGCTCCAGTTGAGGTGGTTCCTGAAGCGCGGCGGACTGTACTCGGGAGCCGTGGAGCGTGCAGTTGACTGGACGTTTGCCACGCTTTTTTGTTGCATACGTCTCGGCATTGGCAGCGCCTTCTTTCTCTTTGTCCTCTTCCCCGCCTCGCAGGTGGAGACTGTTGTTCGGTTAGGTTCAACAGGATTTTATGTCATTAGTATCATATTCAGCTTCCAGATCGCTCTCTATATGTACAATAAATATTTGAAGAATATAATCTAAAGATTTTTTATCAACAGTGGCGGGTCACGATCAATGAAAATTTAAATTGCACATCACCTTTTTGATTGCAGGCATGTTTACAAAAATCAGTAACCTGTTTCGTGTAGCTAATTGACTCAAAAAAGGTTGAATTGACACGGGAAAAATCACGGAATGAAATGCCAGTAAATTAAATCAAGAAACCTCGGGATATGTGGGGAAATTTGCTACCCTAATCTCTTCCTCGGCTTTGTAAGACGGAAAGAGTTCGCGACGGACATGTCCGCCCTGTCTGTTGCCGAGACTGAACCCGTTGAGGTGGTTCCCGGCAATCTTTATGAGGTCCCCCTTGGCAAAGTCCAGGTTGCCTCCCCCGTTCTCTGTCTTCCTGTGAATCGCCCTCAGGACGTGCTCCTGCTGCCCACCAAAATAGTAGACGTCGTCGAGGCTGTACACGAGTCTTGAGGCGTCGACGTGGTGGGCCTGCATCAACTCATAGGCCAGCCGACACACCTGCAAACAGCAGTTTGGGGGGAAACGGCAACTGCTTAAGCCAACGTAGGCTGTTGGACAGCAGAGCCTCTAACATCAATGGGGGATCCACCCGCAATACGTATGCTCTTTATTCAAAAACACAGAGTAGAAGCACTTCAAAAGGCATGGCAAGTACGTGCGTAAAGTTACGCAAGATACGGAAAATACGCAAACTGCGCACGGGTGACTTAAAAATGTTTGGTTGAGACACTGAAATAGTTTTGAAGAGTGGGAGCTGTGTTTCCTGCATATTTGTGTGAATCGTGCAAAGGCCCACATGTCACAGAACAGACAACCACACACAAAACAAAAAGGGGAATATAGATTTCTCGGAAAAGATTTGCAGCAATTCTAGAGCAATAGATACCTGTGAGGAGAGTGTGCAGACGATATAGTCACACTCAGAGAGCATGACAACGTCCAGCACCACTCCATAGAGTCCCCTCTGGCTGTACCTGCTGCTCAGCTCACCCGCCGTCTTTGACACGTCATTGTCGCTGACAAACTTGTAGTTTGGGTACCTGTACAGGATTATGTAACAGTCAAGTGGGTGTGGCCAATATCGCAGGACCTTTTAATAAGCAGACGGCAATGAAACTCACAAGCTGTCACCTTTACACAAGACAAGACTTTTCAGAGAAAACCCATTAATTAGGCAATTCCCGTACTTTTAGTCAATGCCAAGCCAGCCAATTAACAGTGGGCACTTTATAAATTCCTTCAATCAAACTTAATGGCAGGTCTGCTAGCGCTGCTACTATAGAATGCCATATTCTGCAATAGATGTGGAGAACGATGCAATAAGACACAAATCAGCACACTACTACAGTGAAGTATAAAAATTCTAATGCAGCATTTTTCAGTGAAACACAATAAATATCGAATTACAATAACAAGCTGTTAAAGATATTCGAGACAACAAGGGTAACTTTTAAAAGTCACTTTACTATAGGGCCATAGAATAGAGGCTCTAGTTAGAACCACGTATATTAGTACATACAAAGTATGGTAGTTACTATGGTACAATTTTATAGTGTGGGCAACTTACAACAAACAGCATGACTTTTTGCACACTAAGGCTTAGGATTGGAGTAGGAATGTATATAGGTATATACACAGCTGTTCAACTCACGCCTCAATGGCTTGATTCAGGGCAGTTTGGTCGTCCGTAGCCAAGTACACTCTCTTCTCTTCTTTCTTCCCATACATCGTCTCTCTTCTATCATACCACTCCTCTACCTAATTAATGTGAGATTAGATTATGTCGTGGGACCAGTGCCACTCCTATCATTGGCGAGTGAAACGAACCATTTGAAATTTTCTCCTATGTACGTACAATGTACCCAATAGCACAGTTACATTATACATAATTGAATTTAAATCGTGTAATGCCACAAAGTCCCTTCGCCAAAATTCTTGTTCTGCAGACACTGCCCTGCAGAGAGCACGCACAATAACAGACATCTGGATTGTGGCTTGGTGAAATGCAATACCTTTATGCACAATACCTAAGTGCTGAGAAAGTAACTCAGCAGGAGCCTAGAAGCCCTATACCTTAATCACTAGAGCAGGGTCTTTTACCTATCAGTTTCAACCAACATGGTTCGAAGCTTTATAGACACACATAAAATACAGCAGTGCATCCTCTAAACCTCACTGCCCTGGCTTTAAAGCTCCCAGAACTGAATGATAGCTGTTGTGACAACAATATTAACACTGCAGGAAAATGACTTATCATCAACAGGATTCCTACCTGTGTCATGTACTCTTCCACTGAATGGTAGCTTGCCTCCTGCTGGAGTTTGTCCGTACGTCTTATGTGAACCCTGCACACACAAACACAGGTATATACCTAATATCATTCCATCTTACACGGCCAACTGTATTAGTTGCGAGCTACTTACTACGCCTAAGACTGCTGGCACATGCTGGCCAGGGACGTGAATGAATGCAACGGAGTTGTTTTGCATCAACTATTAAATCAGGGGTGGACAAGCGCCAAGTCTGAAACGTGGCCTAATCGTATCATTCACCACCAGAGCCATTAGTAGGCATGGGTATGCTTGTAAATGGAACATCCTACCCACTTCTCATAATACATTCAAATATACTGTGCCCACTTACTACTTGCTGTGTGCCAAGTTTCTCTAATACAGACTTATCCCATTTGAACTGTGAGAATAATTTGTGTTTTACGGTACATGTGATGCTGCTGACCCAACAATCGGATGGCTGATGTTGAGAAACTTTCGCCGCTCCTCAAGGTACTCGCCGAGCTGCTGCGAAGGCCTCATGAGGTACTGCAGGAATTGCCCTACAACCCACAAAAACGGGTACCCGTGAAATGAGGTCAGTCGCTCGACGAGGTCGGCAGGCACGGCCATGGGTAGGAAAGAAGGCTTGCTCATCGAGCCGAGGGACTCTATTGCTGGTGCTTGGATCACTTGGGGAGGATGTGGTTCTTTGTAGGACGACCATGGCTGTGCTCCTAAGGGCTCTAGTGTATGTGTGTGTGTGAGTGTGTGTGCACACGTGAGTGAGTGAAACAGAAAAGGGGCAGAGAGGGGGGAAATGCCACCAGTGTGACACGTAGCTGAGTATGTCCCACACTGAGTGCTAATGAGCACAAAGGCAATTTGATTTGGCTGGGACCAGTGCAACATTACACCAAGTCAAACACAAATCGAACTTGCGAACCCATCAGCAAGTGCCCCTTAAAATATAGATCATGGAACCCCACTTGTGCAGACATGAAATCTGAATAATAGTCATGCAAAAAATACTTTGCCTTGCTAAACAACAAGGTGGCTAGTATATATGTCCTTGCCAAAGAGGAAATACCACAACACATGATTATGCAGTGCTCTTCAAAACCAAATATGGGCACACACAATACAAAAATACACAAATCCACTGTGTGTATTTCAGGTATGTTCCTGAACATTATTATGTAGCGTATATACACTCACCTTTGCAGTTAGAGGTACCCAGTGGTTGGAACACAGCTTCCCATTTCCCAGAATATCTCCAGCCACTAGAGTCCAGGACCAGCATCCTCTCTGTGGCGTAGGCAAAGATGAAGCAGTAGGCCGCGTGATGGATCTGACAACCAAAACCACACGGCTTGGAGATTCGGCACAGAAGCTTTTTCGCATTGTCGCAGTTCTCAGGGTTCTGTAAGTGGTGTAGTCTTTTCTGCACAAGTGTGGCTGTTTCTCTTGCCAGTGTGTCTCTCCAGCCTTCACTGATAAAGGAATCAATTGCATCCTGAGTGTCAGAAGCATGGAGCGAGAGCAGATCTAGCTGCTCCTTGACACTGTGCAGAAGCTTAGATCTCAAGTCTTCTGTTTCTGCAGGAGTCTTGGACCAGTCGCCATCTCGGAGCTTGTCCCTGAGGTACAGCCACAGTTCTCTCGTGGCTGTGTCCAACCTCAGCTCCCTATTCTTGAGTCTACCCAATGTCTCCAGTCTTTTCTGCATGTCGCCGTGGTGGGACGTCCGGTTTAGCTCCACGGCTAGGTTCCTCTCGTGCAGAATCCGTTCATCTTCACGGTCCCTGCGCGGTGGTCGGTTGACTGAATGTAGCTCCTGCTCACGTCTCTCGTCCTTGTCATCGTACTTGGCCAGGACTCTGCCGACGTTCAGCCCCGGAGGAACTGCTGCAGCGGGATTGTGTCGTCTGACGCTCAAAAGGTCTCTGTCCTCTCTCCGCCAGTCAGCAACGACCTGCGAGTGAGTGGGACCACCACCACCATTCTGCCGCACGCTTAGTTCGAGGGTCGAGAGCTCCGAGTTTGTCAGGACGAGGCTCAGTACGCCGAACACTAGCAATGCAGCGAACACGAGAAGCAGAGTCTTCTTCCTCGCCATCTGCTCCGCTCACAAATAAGGAGCCACATTCGAAGAGACGGGCATTAGAGAGCTAGCGAGCTATATAGGCATAGGCTGATGAAGACAGCGCGCACTAATAGAGAAAGCGGTAGTGCGGTAACCAAAAACGGATGCGACGCGTAGATACACGCGCACACGTAGGCGGGAGTCAACAACAACGACTTTCATTCTGGCTCATGGCATTTGGATGGCATTGGATAGCATTTCGGTGGTAATCAGATTTACCAAAATTACCCGGGAGCTAGATAGATCCAGAGGAGGTCACGCGAAAGCATTTGCGCATGCGCAATTCTGAACGAGCATTTTTAGGAGGTGGGGCTATCGAAGGATGCGGTTTCTGACAGAAAACTCACTTTAGCTCTCTCTCTCTCTAGCTGTTCGCTTGCGACATGGAGAACGGACATGCTGTTGTGTTGGAGATTCCGCCTCTTCGCGAAGAGTTGGTGTGCACAATTTGCTGGGACATCCTCCGCCGGCCTAGAGTCCTTTCGTGCGCCCACGTCTTTTGTCAAACCTGTCTCCGGAGCCACTTGCAAGAAGGGCCTGGATCTCCAGGAGGTGGAAGAAACCGAGGGAAGGGAGGGAGCAGGTGGGGTGGGGGGCGAGACGAGGCCCGCATCGAGAGTGGTCGGCGTCCTTCCGTAGCAGAGAGTGGAGACGGCGCGCGCCGACGAAGAAAATGTGCAGGGATGCAGGGAAATCGAGTGCCCATGTTGCCGCGGTATCACACAGCTGGTAGAGGAAGGCGTGCAAAATCTCCCCGAGCCGACTAATCTCGACCTGGCCGATGAATGGACGGACGAAGAGCTGCAACGAGCTCGCGGAGAGCTGCAGCGTAGACTGGAAGCGCTGCGCGAGGTTTCCCCTCGGCGATGCCCAGTCCACAGCGACGAGTCTCAGGAGTATTTCTGTAACCAGTGCAACGAGGCTCTGTGTAAGCACTGCGTGACCGAGAGCCACCAAGAACACGATTGCGAAGGCGTCGCGGAAGTCCACCAAGCTCGAGTGATTGTCCTCCGAGGAGCCCTTCAGCCAGCGTTTGCCTTCGTCGAGAAGGCTGAGAGCATGGCGGGACAGCTGGATCGTGACGAAAAGTCTATTCTTACGAACAAAGAGAGGTGCAAGGAGAGCGTACGAGAGGTGTTTGCGAGAATGCGAGACGCGCTGGATGAGCGAGAAAAGGCGATTCAACTCACGATTGACAAGTACATCACGGGCAAAGTGAGTGCTGTGGCCGACCACCGACACAGGGTGACCAAAGGGAAAGAAAAGGTGCTGTGTTGCATTGAGTCCATGTCAAGACTTCTGGAGAGGGCAGGCGATGTATCAGTTCTCAGGGAGGACCTGGCCTTGTTGGAAGAGCTGGACACACAGGAGCAGCTCATCCTCGAAGTGGACGGGGAGGAAGCAACAGCCATGCACTCCTCCGCCTATGTGGGGTTCAAGGAGGACCACGTGCCCCTTATACACGAGGAGGCCACCCGAGCTGTCACACTGTGCGAGTTTTACCCCGAGTCCGATTCGGGGTACTATGCTTCGAGAAAGATAGCTGTAGACGACGGGCAAGTAGAGGAAGAAGATGCATATGACGTTTTTAGGTACGGTGGCGGGGACGGTGTTAACTTACGGTACTCCCGGAGCATGCACCACATGAAGCGACCACAGGTGATACGACATCGGCAGGCGGAGGGAGGTGGTCGTAGTGTGACAGTGAGAGTGACGCCCGAGGTCAACCTGTCAGAGAGCCCCACTCCCACAGACTCCCCCTCCTCCAGTCGCCGCAGCTCCCTCTCGGCGGCCTCCAGCGGCAGCTTCGACAATCTCTCGCCTCAGCATGCGCTGACCAACGGATCGTCGTCTCCCCATACACCGCATCGTTTCAGCTCTCTCCTGTCCCCACTCCCCATCCTGGAACCTATCAAAGTGTTCGACAGACTTGGAGGCTCCAGGAAGGAGTCTGTGCACCCGTGTGGACTTTGCATTATAGCCAATGACAGCATGATCGTCTCCGACATAAAGAACCACTGCCTGCGCATCGTTGCCAGCAGTGGAAAGTTCATAGACTGCATTGGTTCCGAGGGAAAAGGAGCTGGATGTTTCGAAGAGCCGTGTGGAGTTTGCCTGGACAACAAGGGAAACATTTTGGTAACACAGCGACAGAACCCGAGGATACAAAAGTTCACGCAGTCCGGGAAGTTTGTCAGCAAGTTTGGCCAGAAGACGCTTCGTGGGAGCAACCTCTTTGAGCCGTGGAGCATCTGCTGTGCCAGCAGTGGGGAGATGTACGTGGCCGACTGGGACAAGAGCTGCGTCCACATCTTCCAGGACAACGGGCGCTACCTCTGCGTGCTGGGGAGCAGAAGAGGGTGTCGGGGTGAAAGGATCTCTGCTGTTCCCCGGCGGGATTGCCTGCGACTCGCACGGCCGCATCCTCGTGACAGACAGAGGCAACCACTGCGTGTGGGTCATCCAGTCAGACGGCAGTATCGTGTGTCGGATTGGGAACAAGGGTCATGCCCCCGGTGAGCTCTACTATCCGTACGGGGTGGCCGTTACGCCAGATGGAAAGGTGGTGGTGAGTGAGAGTGGGAACCATCGGATATCGGTGTTCTCGCTGTCGGGGCAGTTTCCAGCATTCGCCTCTAATTTCGTGTGCGGCTCTCAGGGAGTGAACGGCTAGGCCATTCTATATATCACCATTTTGAATCATACGGACACGTCGTGTGGCTCCCGCGTCACATTCCTTCTCAAACTTCGTCGGGGGCGTAGACTTGACCTATGCATGGTGTATGGTACGTCATGTGGCATCGGGGGCTGAGTAGCAAACGTAGACCATATGTTCTGTACGTCGTGAATACTGTTAGTTTCCAACACGTGAGAGGCCCGATAGTGGTATGGTCTAGACACTCCTGATCACATTCTATCCTTTGTCGTCGAGTTATAATTGATTTGGTTTCTTTCTTCTAAAAGCTCCAATCGTCGTCGCGTCTCTGTCGGTAGCCTCATGAGTTCCATAGGTTGTACACAACCTATTATCAACATCGTCATTTCAGATAATGTGCGTGTAATGCCCCCAAGTGCACGGTCACGATGGGTCGTGTGTATAACTATACGCATCTTGCCAAGCGCGGACTTCCGTGAGAATCGTCACGCCATTAGCCATGCATTGGGGGAGGCGCTCACGAGTCTGTACTCAGAACCGGGCACGAGTGTTTCGACAATCGCACTACATGTCCACACATCTAGGGGTGTGCCCGGTGGGGGGCGTGTGGTAATGCGCGGAGTTGTGAGTTCCTCTGCGTAGCTGATCGTCGGTCATTCGGGTCTACCGGACGCTACGGATCACAAGTCTCCGCCTATCTCGGTGCAGACTGCATACAGGCCCCGTCTAGTCACTGGTGGTGTGCTAGCCGCTGGTAACCATGTAAACTATCGTAGACGACCGTAGCGGTGCTTGTCGACGACTCGCGAGTGTACGTGCTAACATCGCGGTTCGATTGATCTCATTGACGTCATATGGGGGTTGTGAGTGCCACGATGCAGAGCTGTCCTCAACATTTACCTGGAGGTGAAACCTTGGTGGTGTGAGCACAAGAAGGTGCAGTCTGCATCTGATCAGCTATCATGTTTCAGAGCAGTTGTGTGCATTCTAAGCAGGAATTTTGTGACAATGGGCTGATAAATTCATGACATTATTCATCCTATTCTCCAGCAACTCTTTATTTCCAAGAACACATAATCACGACTTCTGCAACTGCTAATAACTTTGCTGTTTAGATTAGACAGACGACAAGTAGTACGCAGTGTTATGTATACCCACAGGGTATGTTTTACGAGATTCTACTCACACATGCACACTCTCGCATACACATGTAACTTAATTGATCCACTCCAGTCAACACACACATACTATGTTGACATGCTACAACAATGGACATTATTACGTGACAACAAAATGAAAAATCCCTGCATGATGCCCACGCAACATTACAATCTTTCTTCAGATAGTTGCCACTTGTGGTGGGAGTGTGGCCATTGGTGGGGGTGAGGCAATTGCTGGTGGGAGTGTCGTGAAGTAGAGGTGTCCGTTGGAGGGGTTCTCGTGGGAGAAACTAAAGGTACCACTCATACCTATCTCCTTGGAGAGCCACTTTGCAGGGCACGGGGAGAACCCTGAGCTCAAGAAGTTGTCTCTGTACGTCGTGTTGCTGCCCATCTCTTCGGCCGTCACCATCGGTTTGAGCACCGGCTTTGTGGAGAGGGCTCGGGCCCCCGGTGTCCCACGGTAGTGGTCACGGCAGGTGGATACGGCGCTGAATTTCTCTGGACTTGGCTCGTAGTTGCCTCCCTGTCGGATGGGCGTGGAGCGCTCCACCTGTGACGGGTCCCACGACTGGAAGTCCGCGCGCTGGGTGGTGACCGGGCGGAACGCTGCCTCGTTGTCGGGCCTCGGGCGAGGCGGCGGGCGAATCGGCTTCCTCACATCAGTGTGGCCGTAGTCAGGGTAGTCGGTGCGGAACGTCGAGTGCTTTGTGAAGGTCTCGGTCGGTGGTGAGTAGACGGTGGGTGGCCTGAAGTGTCTAGGAGGCAGCTCCCACGACCGGTAGCTGAGTCTGGACTCCGTGGCTCCCTCAAAGGGGTTGTCAGATGCTACCTTTTTCTGCGGGGGCTTCATGCTAAGCGCAGGGAATCTCCCGGTGTGTCCAGGGAAGTCTTTGGTGTAGGTCGACAGCCCTGAAAACCTGTCAGCCGACGGCTTGTAGACCTCCTTTGTGTGCTGGTGGCGGGCGGGGATCGGCTGTGGCGTGAAGCATTGACGGTAGCAGGACTTCCCGTCAAAGGGATCAGTGGAGAGTTTCGGTGTCTGCGACGGTTTCAGGCTCTGTGGAGGCCTTACGGGTCCAAAGTCGACAAAGTCCCTTTTCACGGTTGACTTTGTCTCCAGGGGCTCCTTTGGTGGTTCGTACGTCCTCTTTACAGCGAAAGTTTCCCTCTCGGGAATGGCAAACGTGACGAAATCGGAAGCCTGAGTTGACTTGTGATCAAATGTCTCCCCGTCTTCTTTTCTGGAGTTCGCTGGACGAAACGATACCGTGGGTTCTCTTGGTGGCTTCCCCTCAAAGGTCATCCTGTATTCTGTGTGTGAGCTGACGATCCCGTCGGGCTTCTTGTACACCGCAAGTGGCTGCATGGCCCGGGGCGTGACGGGATGGGGAGTGAAGTCCTGACAGTTGATGGTCTCGCACGCCATCTTGGAGTCACGGTTGAGAGGTTGCTGCGCTGGCTTGATGGACTTGCGTAGAGTGGCACCGCTGTACTTCTTGAACTGCTGGGTGTACTCTGAAAAGGTGCACGGCTGCAGAGGTGAGCGATTCATGATGTTGGCATGGGGCTGGTGTGGGCACCTATGCTGCCTGTGTAGGGGAACAATGACGCATGTTGTGAAACACTTGTTGGCTATTAGTGGCTACAGCAACCAGGTAGACTTACCCACATGTACATATCTGGCAAATGCAGGTCCGTTTTTCGCCCATCCTCCAACAAATACCTCGTGTGCGAGTCCGTTAACAACTCTGAGGCGCCTGGAGAGACGCCACTTCTACCAGAGTCTCCGGCACAAACGACGCACACGCTGTCGGGAAAGTTTATTCGTTTCCTTAGCAACAGATCACATGATAACACCATCGCACGTGCACCCGACCCCGTCGTCCCAAACAATTTGGTGCTCGCTTTGGTGCCATCCATTTCTTAGCGCTGATAATGTCGGTGCTCGGAGAATACTACTCGTTCAGGAAGATCTTCAGAGACCTACAGAAGTACATCACCGTGGGCCTGAAGCTCTACCAGGCCCGGCGGACTGACACGGACGCCAAGTTCAAAGACCTGTTCGAAAACTTGGACTCTCTACTCGGGCCTCTGGAGACCCAGCAGATAAAGATTGGAGAGAGAGCGGCCGAGTGAGTTCTCTCGGATCCGCGCTCTCTCTGGTTTTTGGAGAGTCTTCGCATTGTACTTACATGTACATGTGCATGTAGAGCTTGTGTCAAGCCTGTAGCCCAGTGTGTCTAGACGCAATGTTGGAATGAGCTTAGCCTCCAAATTCAGCGAGATGGGAGAGGGGGGTGGGTGGGAATCTTGAAATTTGGCTTGCATGCTCTGGAATAGAGTAGACCCTCATCATTATAGCTTGGTGGTAACAGGAGAGTAGAAGGCGCCCAAGAGCATCTGTAATAGGCTGCCAGGGGGCCAGAGTGGTACATACAGTAATACAGATAGGTTGTTGGTTACTTGGTGTGTAAGGCTGCAGCCTGTGGCAATGTTCAGTAAACCTGTGGTTTTGTGCGCCCATGAGCAGCGTGCATGAGTAGTGCAGCAAGCTCACTCACTACAGCTTGTTCCGCTGGAATTGTGGGTAGGTTTTTGTGCTTGGTACAGCAATACACTGATACACAGGACAAGGCGTTGCATGACGTAGAATGTAACAATCTCCTGGAAAGCCTCGCTCTACAGGTGTGCTCATGTTGTCTTCCTTTGAAATAGGAAGCCATTTACTCAGTTGACATTATCTCACCTTAGCTGTAAGGATGATGTCAGAATCTAACAATTTGTGTATCATTTAGCAGCATTAATCTCAGTAGTAGCTACGTGTATGTTGGACCACACCAAGTCAAATGCTACATTCGTTGTGTATTGCATTTTGCTATCCAGAAGTATGCCACTAATTTCCTGCTACACTATCACTCATAGCACCTGAAAAATATTTTTGCCCCTCCCTGCCTCCCTTTTCCTCCTCTCTCTCTCTCTCCTTGCCTTCTTGTTCCTCCCTCCCCTCTCCCTTCAGGTTTGACTTTATTCTAAGTGACGGGACGCGAGTGAAGGCCAATGGCTACCGGAGTCTCCTGTCAACCCTCAGCTCCCTCCTCCTCCAACTCCACCAGATCCTCCTCAAGGTCACCAAGGAGAGGAGCAGCATGTTCTTCCTCCCTGGAGACCACATCAGCAATCTAACTGCCTACTGCAGAGCACTCGAGGTATATACACTTTACTGACACTCTTACTGTTTTTGCAGTTTTCATTTTTGGAACATGCATGATAACTAGAAGACATTATGCCAATTTCTCTGTGGCACACGGTAGCAATAATCGTACAACATTTACAGCTGCTCGGACTTGGGCCGCCTACGCAGAAGTCAAAATCGCCACGGTTCTAAACCTTTTCAACTCACCACATTTCCGCGGACGCAAACACATGCGCTTATACAATTACCCCAGTGCCACAGGGGAGCAATGAGAGGCAAGCTGTCCCAGGTAAATTTTTCGAACTGGCCTCCATCCTTCCCCGCAAGAATGCCACGTTGAAATGGGCGTGTATACTTTCATTGAGCAATGTGTTGTAGGAGTGCACGTCAAAACGGCTTTAACACTTAAGCAGCCACGGACACATACACTGTCCAGAGCCTCCATAAGTTCATAAGAATTTATATGGGAGTTTTAATACTAGCCGCTAATACTTTATACAGCTTTTTAATGCAGATACCCATGGCGTTCAAAGGGTTAAACCTCTACTAGTACATCTCTGACACTATACACACAGCCTGAAGTTTGTTGTGCGCGTACCATGTGGTGCACATTCAGTATTTAAACACTCCACGTGTCCTTGATTCTGCTCTCTCTCACACACACACACACACACACACACACGTGCTCACAGGGTATGAACAAGATTCTTGAGAATGCTGCGGTGTTGATGGACGCCAGTGCACAAGGCCAGCTGTTTGGGGAGGGAGAGGTGTCCGAAAGGCTACGTGGGATCGTGTGCTCTGAATACATCGCCAGGGACGTGTTCTACGGCCGGTGTTTGGGCTTCCAGGTGTGCAGGAGTCAGTAGTATTGTAGCTCATCACAATGTTAGCATGTACATAAGATCAGAGTGTAATAGAGTAGCTGAGTAGGCACACAGCTGTGTGTGTGTGTGGAGAAGTTACTGTCTGTTAACATGGCTCCCTCTCCCTCCCTCTCCCTCCCTCTCTCTCTTACATACTCCCTCACTCAGTATCCCAGTTCCACGAGGCCAGTCATCAAGATGCTGGCTGTGGCGATGGCCTCCTACGAGCGGTGGTACAAGGCAGACAAGGACAACCCACTACGACAGCTCATGCACAGTCTGTGGAAGGGCAACAAGTACCTCCAGAACCCCACTCAGATGGGACTCAAGTTGGACGATCTCACACTCATGAGCTCCGTCTACTTTGTGAAGGCCTTCTGGTCCATCATGGAACAAGATGTTGTGAAGGTGCATCGTAAATACTTTCAAGTTGATTGCTAGTCTCTAGCCATGGTGCCCATGACAACATCTTCGTTGAAAAAACAGCACAAACAACTTGTGCTGTTCCACATGTGTACATAAATAAGCAGTAGGTGGAAAACCAAGTGATTAAAAGATGTGTGCTTTTGTCATTTCGCTCAATTTTCAATTTAGATTCTGCATCCACACTTGAGCATTTACGTATGTACAATATCCCAAGTTGCACTAGGCTATGCTGCGATGCAATGCGGCCCATGCAGGGGTTGCATGTTGGTATTGAGTCTATAGCATCCTTTGAGCTGCTGCCCCTCTCCCTCTCCCTCCAGGCAGCCATGGGGGCAGCTATGACTCTCATCAGTCATTCTGTGGAGATCTCGCATAGCTTGGAGATTCCTGCCAAGAACATTGTCATGGAGGTACATACGTGCATACTACGTATGTACATACATGCATACTCAGTCATCACGTACATCTGTACATAAACTGTACATTCACGTATCTGTACATACATAAGCTGTTAGTTGACCTAAGCCAGGAGGGGAAGAGAAAGAACCAACTTCTGTTGAGAGTCCATATTAGCCTTTAGTGCATAGCTGATTCGAATCGACCAATCAGATTTGTTAGTACGAGGTTCCTGATTTCTCATATGAACCTCGTGAGTTAACAAAAGTAACATGAAAACATGATATGAAACCTTGTTTTTTCTGTTGATTTTCAACAAGTTCAACACTACAAATGCGGAGGCCCTCGGGTTCATTGAAATCCGGTATGTCCCTCGCACGTACATAGTACATAACATGTATTTATTAGCCTTTGTGACTGGAACTCTACTGAACTATGCACTCAGCTACAACTCCCAGACAGGAAATACAGCCTTTCCCATTCTCTCTATAACTACAATTGTGGATGAGTGTTATATGTACCTACGTGTGTGTTGTCGTAGCATAGTGTTTTGGAGCATAGTGAGGTGTGGTAACAGTGTGTCTTGTGTGGTGTGGTTACAATCGGCTGGTGTCTTGTGTCTCTGCAGGGTACAAAGGGTAAAGTGACGCTGACTCCTCCGTTCTCAGAGCAATTAGGCTACCGACCCATTCCTCTCCTCTTCATCTCCAACAAGTGGAGAGATGGACAGGTATGGCTTGTGATTATGAGGATTATATCTAAATTTTGGGAAGCCTCATTTCGCATCGGTCACTCTACAATTTCTAAACAAAAACAATCATGGGATTGCTATTGTACATTTACATATAGAGCACCGTGTCAGACAAATTCTCAATGCCAACAAATGCAGTCATGTTTCAAACCACTATCTGTTCATGTATGTACACTGCAGAATCGTGGATACTCCAGCAAGAAGCAGCCTCAGCCAGCGGCCAGTGGTCTCATAGTCCACATCCACGGAGGTGGTTTCGTGGCCCAATCTCCCAGGTCTCATGAGGTTAGGAGTGTACCATTCAATAGTCGGTCGTCTTCTTCATTCATCTGTACTCGGTGCTGTTACAGGTTTTGTTTCCATTTACGATAGAATGCACAAGAGTGTTAAACGGGAGTTTGTTGCCTGCTTCAGTGTGTGCTGTGCAGTTTCTTTTTTCAGTGTCCATAGTCCATAGTCCATAGTCCATAGCGTAGGTATGCTGCAAGTGCAAACAACACATTAGTGTACGGCACATTGTGTGGTATGCCTGAAAAGAATCACTAGTGCATGTGTGTGTGTGTTGTGCAGTTCTACCTGCGGACGTGGTCTCAGGAGCTAAAGACCCCGGTCGTGTCCATCGACTATTCTCTCTCTCCCGAGGCCCCCTTCCCCCGACCAGTGGAGGAGTGCACCATGGCCTATGCCTGGATTCTACAGAACCTCACCCTCCTAGGTGTGTTTGTGTGTGTGTGTGTGTGTGTGTGTGTGTTTTGCATTGGTGGAGAGCCTGTTTTCAGACAAGACTATATATAGACAGATATCTACCTTGAACATTAGCGTATTGTGTAAATTTTCTGCACTCATAATGTGGGTAACTTGTTTAAAGTTGTGTGTCTCCATCGTGTGATCATGTTGTCCAGGGACGACAGGGGAGCACATAGTGCTAGTGGGAGACTCTGCCGGTGGGAACCTCGCCGTGACCACTGCCATGAAGATCCTGGAATATGGTACACACATTTTGTGTGGCGTTTTATATATCACGCACCAAATTATGATTTGAAGAGTGGAGACAGAAGGAACATTGTTACCTCTCCTGTAACTAACTACAGCTAACATTGTACCCCTTCACATGCACACACATAATACATACATAATTACATAACCTCTACGGCATACACAACCAAACAACAATTGCAGTTTCAACTCCATCATTACTTGTCACTCTATGTTATTCAACTACTATGTACACGTAATAAAGACGTATAGATTATAAGATGTACATACTGACATAAGCTACTGAGTGCTGTTTTACTGATCACTTGTCTTTGTGAAGGTCTACGTCTTCCAGACCGTATCGTAACTGTCTACGCAACGTTCAACCTCACCTCGGCTGCATCTCCGTCTCGTTTCCTGAGTCTGTTTGACCCAATTCTTCCCATCGGTGTCCTCCTCAACTGCATGCAGGCTAGTACACCTATACATACTACCACTCTTAGTACAAGACCTCACTCCCTGTGTATTGTCTGTATCTGTAATACCATACACTCTCTAGCAAAGAGTTGTGGGTTCGAGCCCCATCTTTCAGAGCGTCCTGAGGTTGTTTGATACTTGTGTTGACTTTATTCTTGGAGCCAGGAGAAACATTGAATTTGCAATAGGCTTTACGTTAAAGAAATTGTTTTATCGTGTGAATGGAATGTGTGCATGTTCTTGCTAAGTTGGATCTCCCTACTCTCCAGGCCTATTCTGACGTTGCTCCCAGCAATGAAGAGGTCCAGAGGAGAAGAGACCTGCGGAACAGGGTCCTCCGTGCCAAGGGAGTCTATATCCCTGACCCCAATGTGAAGAATGTCGCATCTCCTTCCGTACCCAGGTTTGCTTGCCAGCACATTCACTCATACAGCACATCTGGTGTGTTTGTTTCAGTAATGAATTATACAATTTCTTAGTCAGAATTTGTAATGTGCTTTGCCTATGTATATCACCAAGTCAAACTCAAAGTCCATTGGAGAGTGTTTTTTGAAGCCATCGTCGTTTTGTAAGCCTGTCAATGTGGCATAATGCTGTAGATTTAGTTACAGCTGTTTGCTCCTTTCACTGCTCCTTTGCTCTAAAGAGAGTGCAGCAAAAATGTATTATGGGATGCAGATGTGCAATTCACATGGAAAAACACTGAAGTGTATTATGCAGTTTCACTCTGCTACTTTGCTGCCTTGAATGCTGTAAGCCTGGGTATCTTCGGCGTGTGTGCAACTGCTAGCTTTTTCGGCATCACTAGCACTCAATGTGGTGGTGTACGTGCTTTGAGCCTTACATACGTTGACAAAATTGTACATCCGGTGTACAAGTTGGCTTCATCTGTGACTGTCTCTATTAGGAAGAATCCAGAGAAGGAAAGGACAGAGGCTCCGGCCACTGACAGTGACGAGTCAATCAAGAAGGTTCCTCCCTCTCGGCCGCCTCCCCCCAGCCTCGCCCACTCTTCCTCCACACAACCTCTCCTCGCAGCAGCAGATGCAGACGACGATGAGGAGGAGGAGGAGAACAGAAGTGAAGGTGAAAACTATAGTATGTACATTACAGCTGTAGTTCCTCATTCACTGGCGGGCAAAGCAAGCCTAGTACCTAGTCATCTCTTGTGATGGGGGGTGATGGGCACTACGTGACAACTGTAACATGTTGAACTGCATACTCACGTTTGCGCGCCAAAATAATTATAAGCCATTTTCGTATGGGACAAAAAGTATACTACAGTGCATCTCAACATTGGCTGGGATGCAAAGGACACTCACAAATTGTTACGCTGCAAAGCAAGTCACTACACACCTACAAAACCTTTTTGGACGGCCTATATATGAATTTATGGTGACATTTGTACCAGATGTGGTTGTGAGTAATGGTGGAGGTGGTGGTGGTTCCAATGGAGTCGTGGAGGAGGGAGACAGACTGATCACAGTGGACCTCAGCGACGACAGTCCCGGGACCAGTGAGTCTGGAGAGAGTGAGACTCGGCTGACGGAAGACACGACTCCAGGGACTGGACCGGAGACAGAGATGGTGGACTTTGTCGGTCGGCAGAAGAAACCTCTCAAGAAGAGACCCGTCCTCACTGTGAGTTTTGGTCACGGACACTGTCAAACCCTTTGTTTATCACCCAAGAGGGTAAAGTGAGCATTTCAAGGGGAAGTGCTGTGTTGCGTGCATTAAAGGGAATGTGTAAGGGAAATGTCAATAGGGCCCAGTGAAAGAGTGCTACTATGTAAGTTCCGTTTTTGTAACATTTTTCTTAATTTAGCCTTTCTATACTGCCACATTCCCAAGGGGGCAAGAATTTATCAAGGGGTGAGTGCCCCCCCTCTACTCCAAGAATGAACTCCTGACATGTGGTGTTGTTTGAGTTGATGCTCACTCAATGTCCTTCTGTTGGTGTACCATGTTCTTGCAGCATCAGGGTACGGCCTCGCTGCTCTACTGTTGCAGAGAACCAGAGGAACAGGACAGACTGCCCCCTGCTGAGATTGAGAAGATGACATGCGAGGTAAGGCACCCTCACTGACAGTGGTAGTATGTAGGCATGTTGAATGAAGAGATCGCAAGGGAAAGATTACCAAGGGATAACATGTCTCTCTTTGCATTGCCGAACTGCCCAAGTAGCTCACTGGGTGTTGTGGGTTAGAGTCCCGAAGAATAGTTGTGGGTGTCGGTTTTACTTTTCACTTGTCTTCTTTTCATACCTGCATATTGGCAACACATTATTATTTGCCAAGTCAGTCACACGTTATGAAGTGTGTTATTCCGAGTGACTAAGTTTCATACTGCAACCTCCTTGTACATAGCTGGTGAAGGCGCTAGGCTCACTGGAGGGGAACAAGAACCCCTACATGTCTCCTGGTCTTGCCCCCGATGACATGCTCCGTGGACTTCCTCCTGTCCACATCATTGTGAGTTGCCTTCTCTCAATCTACTACATGGTGCATGGACCCAGTGTACCCCATACATTGAGTTGCATGTCTCAAGTTCCCAATACAGCAAATGTGTGCATGTATGTTGTCCTAAAGTCTATTGACGTAACCTGTGCCTCCGAAAACTTAGTTTGCAAAACGCTATTGGAATCTGCGCAATTTTGCTGGTTGTCATAAGCTACGTAGTTGACTGTCCTATGAGGAAGGTGAAAGTACAAGGTACTTTGATAAACTGTTACACAAACTGGGGCTAAAGTGAACATTAATACATGGGTTCTCTGTGTACCCATCCACAGGGAACGACATTGGATCCTCTGCTGGATGACTCGGTGGATATGGCGAGGCGACTACAGTCCCTCGGCCAGCCAGTGACTCTGAACGTTGTGGAAAACATTCCTCACGGTTTCCTCTGCTTCAAGAGTGCTGGGAGTGACCAGGACCTGGAGGCCGGCCAGAGACTCTGCATCGAGTACATCAAACAGGGCCTGGGCATCACGTCGAACGGGCACCCTTAGAGTAGTCTTCTATCTCTCCCTCTCTCTTTTTCCCTCTTTCTCTCTCTCACGTTATTTACTACTCCTTCTTTTCTTGTATACTCTCATGATAAAAATCACTACTACACAAATATGTAATGTACATTTTGTAGCCCTATCATTCTTGTTTTTTGCAACTGTGTTGTGTTCGATACACACATTACGTGGAAGTGTCTGGCTCTATCTTGGTAGTATTGGGGGGTTGTGGAGGGGATGCTCGGGTTGAGGGGAGGGGAGGACTCCTGGTGCCCTCTGCACCACAGGACAACGCCGCAGAGCTGACACGAGAGGGGACTGATGAGTCGGGCAGTGGAGCCTTGGGCCGGGGAGTCCCACGTACGACGGTAGCTGACTGAACACGGGAGGCAGTCGTGCGAGATCGCAACGACAGCGTGCTGGTCCTGCTGGAGACTGCGGATGTCGCCCGAGGACCAGGCTGTGGGTGAACTGGGGAGCCGGGGGCTGGCGTAGGGGGTTTGCTGGCACTGGCAGGGGTGGGGGGTTTGCTACCGATTTCCGTGGCAGCGGTGGAGGGTTTGCTACTGGCTTCTGTTGCAGGGGTGTGGGGCTTGCTACCGGCATTTGTGGCAGGGGTGGGGGGTTTGCTACCGATTTCCATGGCAGGTTTGCTTCCAGTCTCTGTGGCAGGGGTGGGGGGCTTGCTACCACCCTGGTTCCCGGTCTCATTATTGTGGCTGTCTGGAGCAACTGTCTTGCTTTCTCTGTCACCTCGTTCAGATTCCATGGCTGATTGTGGCCGTGGACTAGTAGCCCTCTGAGACGCTTGGCTCACACGAGCACTCGTGGCACGACTTGACCTCCGGCTGCCCTCTGCGTTCTGCTGGTCGATCTGCGAGAGATGAGTCATGAGTTTCGTCCTCGTCTTCAGCTGAATGGGCCTTCTCTCTGCCTGCCACGTCCCTACGAAACTTCCCCAGGGAGAGACCGGGCTGCGTGGAACATCGAAATTGAGATGGCCCCCGTTATTGCTGATGATCCGAGTGCATCCCGATCTCAGTGAAGGATGCTGCATCACAGAATGTGTCTTGGGATGTTGAAAACAAGCTTTGTGGTCATACCTGTTTGTGTCTTAGTGGGACTTGGTAGTTTTGCAGCCTCTGGGGACTAAAGGCAGACTCGTACTGTGGAGAATTGTTTGTGACATTGCATTCCGTTAACTGGAAATGGCAACTGTATGCTTACCTGATTGGCACTGAAATGAGATGACATGCTGCTGACACTCTTGTTCTCAGCACGTAATACACAGCATTCAGTGCTGCGTGTTGCTAGGCAGCGTTACTGGGCGATCTTATTTAACGAAATAATTTTGTAATCGTAGCCACCACCAGCACTGTGATCTGATCTGAGGTTCTGCTGCTGCTGAGCTCGAGCTATAGCAACTATCGTTACGGGCGGTTGGACGCTGGATGACCATGACTTCTCCAGGTGAAACCTTACTCTAGCTACTCCCCTCACTCCCTCTGTTGTCTACCATGCTCTGACGAGTGACGGCATGAATTTATACAACATTGCAGCTTCCATCCGTGGAGACGGCAACAGCCTGCTCGCCTCCCAGCTGACGGGGAGGGAGTTTGGAGGCTCACTGGACGTGGCGGACCTGGTGGCGAGACGGGACCTGGATTTTGCAGCTGGCTCCAGCCTCAGCGTCTCTGGGTCCACCTACTACAGCGAGAGACCCACCGCTCTCCTGAGGAGCAGCGAGTCCCTTGTGTCTGTCACGAGCAGCAGCAGGCAGCCGAGCGAGCGAAGCAACATTTCCCTCACCCCTCCCTCTCGCGTGGCACGCAACCTCTCCTACGGAAGCCACTTAGACACGGGGAGGAGACTGGTGGTGGGACTCCTGATAGTGGTGGTGATTGCCCTGTCGTGGGTGGGCTCTACTCAGACAGCCAAGAGCAGTCTCACGGGGAGCGCCGGGAAGAAGTTCAACTCTCCGTTCTTTGTGATGTGGTTTGGGACGGGGTGGATGATGGCCGTGTACCCGCTCTCCTGTGTGGTGTTCTTCCTAGTACACAGGGATAGATGGAACTGGAGAGGGGTCAGGGGCTGTGGAGGTAGGGGGCACACACAAACAAAACATTACATACTCCTTTGCATGGAGGTTGTTTCACTATCCTACAGTATGTATTAACTCATCTAGCTTGTCGTGGCTCATAACTCATATAGCTAGCTTGTTGTGGCTTCCTGTCTGAATTGTGGATTTAGCTAAAGCATTCCTGGGCCCTCTGAACTCTCTCTCTCTCTCTCTCGCTTTCATTTCACACCACCCACACACGACTTCAAACACAGTCATAGCACTCGGCTCTTCTCCCCAAAGGGGATCACGGTTCTCTCTCTCCTCACCTCTACCGTCCCCTTCACCCTAATCTGGGCCGCCACTAACTACATGTACACCCGTGCACTGACGGTGATAGAGGCGAGCGACGTCACTGCCATCTTTTCCTCTGCCCCTGCATTTGTCTTCCTCCTCTCCCTCGTCTTACTCCGAGAACCTCCGCTCATATTGAGAGTCAGTCTTTTAGTTCTTGCGAAACTATAGTTGTGTCTATGGTGGTAGTAATGTTTTGTGTTTGCATCATGTAGTACATACGTAGTTTGCGAGTCCCTAATTTGGACTCACTATTGCAAGGATGATTTTACAGATGAAGTATAATCTCCCCCACACCTACCCTCATGTGTATATTACCATGTGCATATCCTGCTTTTTATATTTTTAGCCTTTTACCTAACGAATGAGTCCTTTATTCTGGCTATGCTTTCAAACACGAGCACTTTTTAAAAGTGCTTTGTTGGATACATAATATATAATCTTCCTTTCAGTTATTTGCCGTGTTGCTGGCAGTGGGAGGGATAGTCGTGTTTGCCTATGAGGATGGTTTCAATAGCAGTGGTAGCAAATTGGACTCTGCTACAGGTGTGGCCCTCTCTATAGGTGCAGCAGTTGGCGCCGCTTTCTATAAGGTGAGCATTTACACCGAATAACTAAACCCTTCGCAGATTTTTGTGAACTTGATATATACGCATTCACAAAGTATTTAGTCCAATAATGTAGCGTGCTGCATTCGCCAGCCAAACACTCTTGTGAAACCTTTACGCAAACTTTTATAAGCGATTTTCTGAAACTATTTTCACAAACGTTCTAAAACAGACGTCCCCAGAGGAAACTTAAGGGGTGATGCATACCAATATGCTGAATGAGGGCTGCCACACACAACACTCTGCAATCTAGGCATAGTGCACCACCAATGGAGATACATGGGCAGCTGAACAGGCGAGGCTCAAACAAATGCGAACCTCAAAACCTCTACTGTACTAGATAATTTTTACAGGTGGGGCAGGCACATACGTTCGAGGTCATGCTTTGTAGACCTCTCCATGCTTGCGTTCACTCACAAGCATTGATAAAGAACTCACACCTTCAACACCGACTACCTGAGCAGTATTAGTCTTTGTGAAGTCACAGTCACATGATTTCATATATGGCAACAGGCACTCATTAGGCTGTCACAACTTTTATAAGCGATTTTCTGAAACTATTTTCACAAACGTTCTAAAACAGCACGTCCCAGAGGAACTAAGGGGCGATGCATCCAATATGCTGATGAGGCTGCCTGGCGAATGTGTGACAGCCTAGTGAGTTTGCCTGTTGCATATATGAAATCATGTGACTGTGACTTCACCAAGACTTACTACTTGCTCGCTAGGCTATCAGGTGTGCCCGCTCGCTCTGTGAGATATCTTTATCATGCTTGTGAGTGACAGCAAGCATGAGAGGTCTACATAAGCATGACGTCGAACGGATGTGCTGCCCCACCTGTAGAAATTATCTAGTACCGTAGAGGTTTTTGAGGTCGCATTTGTTTGAGCCTCGCCTGTTCAGCTGCCCATGTATCTCCTGTGGTGGATGCACTATGCCTAGATCTGTCAGTGTGGTGTGTGTCTCAATGTCCTCCGCCCTGGCACCTCAGCTGAAGCGATGGTAGTTGTTTCTGTTTTCCAACCCAAAAAGTTAGCCCGAGAGTAGTTCCTATCTGAGGAAAGGACCTATTGTGGGAAAAGTGGCTGTTTTTTTTTTTTTTTTTGTTTTTTAACGAAGCCACTGAGAGTGCCAACCGTCCGGCGTAGGTCATAGTTCCCCCTGCACAGATCTTTTTTTTTTTGGTGTTTTATTATGTTTTTCTGTTAAGTTTGATCAGTTTTTGTTTAGTGGCGGCTGGTCAAGCGCCGCCAGCCGCGCCCGGGGGCGATCAAATAAGTCCATGACCGGCCTTTGTTTGTTACTTGTAGGATGTTTAATATTGTTATTGTTTTTTTGTTTTTTTTTTTTTTTTAGTTTTTTTGTGTTCTATTTTTTTTTTTTTATTTTTTTAGTGTTTTTTTTTTTTTTTTTTATTTTGGTTTTTGGTGATTTTGATTTAGTCATATTTTTTTTTTGTTTGATTTTTTGGTTGGTTTGTTTTTTTGTTTTTTTTTGTTTGTTTCTTGTTTTGTTGTTCTTTGTTTTTTTTTTTTTAGTTTTTTGTGTTTTTATTGTTTGTTATCTTTGTTTTTTTTTTTCGTTATTTTTTTTTGTTGTATTTGTTTATGTTTTTTTTTAGTTCTTTGATTTTTTATTTTTTTTTTGTTTGTTGTTTTTGTGTTTATTTATGTTTTTTTTTTTTGTGTTCTTGTTTGGTTTTGTAATTTTTTTTTGTTTTTTTTTTCTATTCTGTTTTTGATTTTTTTGTTATGTTTTGTTAAGATTTATGTTAAGTAAAGTTTAAGTGTGTGATTTGTTAGGTATCGTGGATAGACGAGTTGATGACGATTAACGGTGTGTCTCACGGACATAGGGCGCCTGTACATCACATTTTCGCCTCTAGCGATGTGTTGTTTTGTTTACAAGTCCATTCGTCGGGACCCAGGTATTTATTTTTTTTTTGGATATTTAGTTGTTTTGTTTTTTTGATAGGTTTGTATTTTTTTTTTGTTGGTTTGTTTTGTGTTCCACGTGTCGTCAGATAGCAGCACTCTCCACGTGGATCTGTTTATTGTGTGTTTTTCAGTTTTCTGATTGTTGGTTTTTTTTGTTCGTTTAAGTTTTTGTACGCAGAATATGTCCGTGGATTTTGTTTTGTTGAACTAGATGATTAAAGCACCTCTAATCCTCTCTCGATCTCTGCTCCCCCATTGCCGCACCGTAAGTTAAGTATCTTTAGTCTGCTTTTTTTCTCTATTCTGGCTTTGCGTCTTTGCCAGTGTCGGAACTTTGTAGGTTGTTCAGTCCGCCACTATTCTTTTGAATCGTCTCTACGAGTGCACCTGAATGAATGGTTGAGTTGGCATATCCTCTTTAAGGCACCGTGCGACCAGGTATCTGAATGAATGCGGCTTTTTAGGGAAATATGAGTGTGAGTTTGGAGATTGTGAATTCCTTGGCTATTTGCATATCTCGAGAGACCTCCTGCCTTTGGCACTATTTGACTATACAGTTGTAGGACAGCTCTTCTGTGAACATGCGCTTCTTCCGCCTTCTTGGGATTTCTGTGTAATTGTGTAGTAATATAGGTGAACGCATGAAGTAAAAATAGGGTGTTCGCCTCTGTAGAATGTTTTGCGTCCTTGTACAGCGAGTATAGCACTGAGCCATACACGTGCGGAAGGGAAATCCTTACGTTATGAGCTGCTCTCAGTTTTTTTTTTTAATTTCTGTTCTCTTGCGTGTGCGCTCGATAATTGCTTCGCTGCTCGGTTTTGTGGTGTGGTTAGATCCGTCGTACCATTATCACGCATGCTAAATTCTCTATTCGTTTTCTTACTTGTCGCGCGTGCTGTTGTTCAATAGCCCCTATTTTACTTGATGCGCCATCATATGATGAGCACTATAGAGGCACTATTGTTATGCTATATGGGAGGTTTACAACGATAGTGTAAAGTTTAGTATTGAAGGATTGAAATTTTGCGTACTGCTCAATCAGACACTAGTTCAGATGGAAAAATATGACTCATGGTTTGATTATGTAGTTTGTTTTTTTCGAGCTCTAAACTTGTGCCCAGTTGAGTGATTTTTCTTCACTAGGTCGGAACAAGTCATCCTGTGAAGATCTCTCTTGAGCAGAGAGAGGCTCAGTTTATTTGTTCATACGTCTGATTCGGTATATAGACGAACACATCCGTGCCAAAACAGCAGATGAAAGGCTAGTGAGTACCGTTTATGACGAAAGAGAGCCGGAGATCCGTAGCCTACAGAAAAAAGAGGATACGAGACTTTGAAATCGAGCCCGCAAGGCAAGGCGTATCGCTGCTATGGTCCTAGCAGACAAGACCGTTGGTGAACCTGGACCCTGCAGGCCTGTTAAATATACCTTCTATATTGTAACCCCAGTCATGTGTGGATCTGTTCATTGTGTTTGCTATAACCAGTCATGTATGCATTGTCATATTCTCAGACCGGTGCCCTGTAGATGTGCATGAGTTGCTACTGCATATGTGTTTTAGTTGTTGTGTGTGCTAGATCCAATGACCGGCTCCCTCGCCAATATCTCGGTTCAGTGGCATAACAACCCCGCCTTCAGTGTTTCTGATCTCAGGAATGAAGAGCAGAAATTGCTTTTCTGCCAAACTGCGAGAGAGGGCATGCCCGCTCCTGATATAATAGGAGGGTTGTGAGCATTAAAACACGATGAGAGATGGCTCTTCTTCAGTTCCCACGAAGAGATATAATCTGTAGTTTTTGGAAATATCTACAAATCACAGAACCTTTCACTACGTACAATGCGCATGATGCAGTTGATAGGTTTCGCTTCCTGGCATGCAAAAATTGATGCATTTGCTTTAACACTCTCAGTCTGAGGTTGGCAGACGACAATGGTGCACCCAGACTCCCCCACCAAAAGGGTTTCTTCCAGTGGCCATCTGGTTAGAAGATTGCATGGCTACAGTAGATCCAGTCCGTCTGTTTGGCCTGTTTGTGTGTTTCACCTTGGGCATCGTCTTAGTCATACATCTATTACTCAAATAACAGTTCCGATAGCTTGGGCAGCACTCAGTCACAACTACTCTATGACCCTACGAGCTAGGAGAGTAGGTTTAGACGATCCCTCTTAACAGTCCTTACAGCTTTAGAGTAGTATATGTCTTGTGTTAGGTAGAAGAATAAATAGAGCTCTAGAGCCACCAAGCGCATCCTCACCGCTATGGAGGCGTCTTGGGGGTATTGTCTCTCGCCTTACCTCTCTCTGCCTTGCGAATGTCTAGGATAGGCTCGCTAAAAATCGTGTATTCAAATGGTGTACAATTTATGAATAAGGTTTCTGCATCAAATTGTGTCAGCGTGGGGGCTGCAAGGAGGAAGCTTCCCCAAGGGTCCAACTAAGGCTACTAACTCCAAAGCTACTTTCTCCTCTATCCTGTTATCCTACGGCTATGTTACGAGGTCTCCACCATGAATGTCATCGCCATCTCTTTTTTTCACTCTGGTCTCTATCGATTTTCTGAGCTCTACGGCTGTGTCTGGCAGTTTCCAGAGCTCTAATAAGTATATATTGGCTGGTCATCGCCTCCTGTCGAAGCGCCGACGCTTCATAAAGTTTTAAATCACCATGCGCATGTTAACTAACACTCGTAGCACCTCCCATAGTAGTAGAGCACATCTCACATCCTTGTGTGCTCATTTGACATCGCACTGGTGAATCCAAATAAGCCCAGTTTGCGCTTGTGCTACTCACAAAACTCAAATCGTGCACCCCGCGGCACCTCGAATGGTAAATTCGTAATCTCATCCGTCGAAGAGACCGCCCTCGAGTTAACTGGGTGCTAGGTTCCCCCGTCCCATGCCTGCTGGACCAGTTCCCTGGTGGGGGCCCCGTGGGCTCTTTTGCCGCTTTTGTTCATGCCACACCCGTGGTCTCCGCTTTCCTTTACCACCGGTGCTCGCAATGTTATAGCCTCCAGTGAAACCTGTACTTGAAAGTATAATCACATACATCTTCAGATATAGAGCCGTGTCGGGACATCGTCCATTTCCAAAGCACTATTGGTTATCATAAAATTCCAGCCATCGCTATGACCGCTGCACTTGAAAAAGCGTTGAACTTCATACCAGATGTTTAGTCTAAGAGTGCTGCGTCATCACCAATAGAATTTCCTAAACTTGGCTTTCGATTGTAGCACAGATCAATGGTGCGAGAGAAACTAACGAACTCAAGGCCACAGGCAAACACTCTTTCCTTCTACATGAACTGTTGCTTACAAGCTTAAGAAGCCTGCTTTGTCATCCACTATAAGCAGGCGTGCTCTCCAGCACCCG